GTGTTCAGGGTTCACGGTCTGCCACGGTCTATCCTGTCCGACCGGAGGCGACAGTTCATCTCGAACTTCTGGCAGAAGCTGATGGGTTTCCTGAACGTCAAGATCAACCTAGCGTCGGCGAGACACCCGCAGACGAACGGACAAGCGGAGCGAGTCAACGCCATCATGCAGCAGTACCTGCGATGCTACGCAAATCAGCAGCCGGCAACATGGGTGGACTACCTGCCGCTCGCTGAGTTCGCCTACAACAACACGAAGCACGTGTCCACGGGGTGACACCGTTCTTCGCCAACAACGGGAGGCATCCCAGAACCTTCCCGGGATTAGCGAGAGAGGGGGAGGGGAGCCACAGGCAGCGGAAGCCTTAGCATCAGAGTTGCAGGAGGTTCACGAACAGCTTCGGAGGCAGTTAGAACTAGCAAAGCACGCATACAAACTGCAGGCTGACAAGCACAGAAGGGTTGGGGAAGACATACAGGTGGGAGACTGGGTTTGGTTAGCAGCCCAGGCAGTGCCGGCCAGATCGTTAGCGAAGAAGAAGCTAGGGCATAAGCAGCTAGGACCCTACCAAGTCGAGGCACAGGTCAATCCAGTGGCCTTCCGGTTGACACTGCCGGAGGGATCCAGAATGCACCCAGTTTTCCATAGATCAGTGCTCACGCCCTACAAAGCACCTCATAGATTTCAGGAGCCAGGAACGGCACCAGACCCGTTCAGGGAAACGCCCACAAGGGGGGGGTCGCCAAGGCGGGAACCCGTCAACGAAGTCACAGAGATTTTAGACTCGAGATGGGGGGGAGGGAGTGGAATACCTCCTCGCCAAGGAAGGTACCTCGGCTAGCGCCAACAGTTGGGTGCCAGATTATGCTCTGGAGGAATCTTGGCTTAAGGACGAGTTCCATGCCCTTTTCCCACACAGGCCCATGCCAGCCGAGTATTTCGACGACTGGCTTTTCACACCCACATTTTCAGCTAGCACATTCCAGGGGTTCACCTCGGACGAGGAACCGGCACTAGAAACACGTTCCCCGGAGGGATCGTCTGCCTCAGACCGTTCCTATTGGTGGGACAATCAACCAGAGGAGCAGTGGCGCAGGAAGTGGTTGGGGGGGTCCTTGGCAGGCAACGTCCCCGGAGGAGACCGGGGGAGAGACGGACATGGACGTGTTGGGGGAGGACCTTGGGTTCGAGCACGGCGGCAAAGAGATGGAAGCAGAGGAAATTGAGGTCGGCGAGAGCACGGAGGACGAGCCGGACTTATCCGGCTGGATGCACGCCACGGGGGACGAACTGTATCCGGCACTCACCCCCACAACGACGGAGCACCCAGTACCCACACCTGAAGGAGGGGAGGGGGAAGGGGGGCTTCGAGGGGGATGGATGTCAGGGGTTCAGGAGCAGAGGCACAGGAAAGGGAGGAAATAGAGAGCGAGGGGAGGAGTCCGAAGGAAATGTTAGCGATGACAGCGGTCCGAGGTCTCTGAGTCTTTCCAGCGAATCGGAAGATTCACAGAAAGGGGCTCCCTTGGTCAGAGCAAGGGGGTGCCGAGGGGACACCCCAGGAAGAAGGGGCCAGAGGGGACTCAGAGAGCAGCAGTTGGAAATCAGGACCAGCGTCCACACCAGAGTGCAGTAGGGGGGAGGAGTCCCAGGCATCGGGATCAGGCGGCGCACTGCCAGTGGGAGGACATGAGTCAGGATTGGCCACGCCTCCATCGGGGAGCGAGGAAACGGTCGAGAGGAAGGTTGAAGGCTGGGCGCGCGCGCCAAGTTCAAATGTACAGGAGGGCGGCGCAGTTGGCAGCCCGGATAGGGAGCCAGGTCCCAAAGCCCGCCGAAAAGAGGGGGAGGAGTCAGGAGGGTCAGCGTCAGAAGAATCCAGGAAGGAAGGGACCCCGGGGGGTAGCAGGACCCAGAGGAGAAAGGAGAGACGTAAGAGGTGGAGTAAGGCTAGAATCTTAAACTGGTGTACAGGTGGCGGAGACTCAGATGGAGCATCGCCGATCTAACCCCTAGACGTAGAGCTGGGGCGCTCCGGCTTGAAAATGGAAACTGTACTTCAATAAAGACTTTTGCACATTACTGCCGGCTAGCGTTGGTCCTCTGTGAGCTGGGACCTGGAGCCAGCTCTGACAGTATCCATTTAGAAATCTCTCTCTTTGGTGCAGAAAGAAGTAACCTCAGGTTGAAGTTCCTGTTGTGTGTTATGGATCCAATGCAGAATGGCCTTTTGCATTGTGCAGCCCACTTCTTCTGCAAGTGGATCAGCCTTGCTGGTTTGGGGCATTTAGGGGGAACCTTTTATTGGCTTGCGAAGTGGTTGTATTGTTCTGCAGCTGCTATCTTCAATCACTTAACATTGCCTTGTGCTGTGTTCCAAAACTTCACACAGAGAAAAGCACTTCTCATGACTGTGGGAGCTGCAAATGGGATTTCGACTAAAAGACTTTCATTAAAATTGGCAGTGTCCTGCTGCTTGCTGACATGATGCTCCTGCTGGAAGCAACATCTTTCTTTTGCTGCGGAATAAATTTATACATCCAATTTCTTTCTACTTTTTGATGTTTCTGACAACCAGCTCAAACTTAACAGAAGTAAACTTAAATCTTTCTGTAAAGTATATACAGTGAAGAACATGCTGAGCTTTAGCTGCAAGGACAAAACCATTCTTCTCAGAACACTGGGCTGAATCCAAGTACTGTTGCCATAGAACTGCTGTGTGTGAATAAGTGCCCTGAGTCAGAGAAGATGTGACACTATGGATCTGTTGTTTGAAAAGCCAGCAGTATGAGCTGGAACATCTCAATTTCATATTGTTTATCTCTGCGAATAGGGATATAAATACCCAAGGATTTCTTTCATTAATTCTGTTGACTGGTTCTGTTTTTGCTGAAACCAGGCTATGAACAGGTGTAAACATTACAATTCCAAGGCCGTTGTGTAGCATATTGGTTACTAGATATATAATTGGTTGCAGACCATTGTGTTGCATAGTAAATGTTGGCTTCAAAAATACTCTACAGTGACACTGCAGGGCTCCTCACATTCATCAGGATATCAAAGAACTAGAAAAGTTGCAAAAATATTGGCAACCATCAGCAGTAGACAGCATGGTTGGCGGGGGGGATGATGCTCATCTGACCTCTGGTTCGTCACATCCCTGCCTTTTAGGGGGAAGGGAGAGGCAGTGGCAAGTTCAGCATGATGCAAACACACTGCCTGGAACACTGCAATGGTCTGCACCATGCTGACCTTGCTGCCACCTCTCCGCCCCATTATGTAGCTGTGATGCAACCAACCGGAGGTCAAATGACTGGCATCACCCCACCACGGCATCCGCTACAAGCATCTAAAAGAATCAGGCAGATGTAGCATCTTCTCTAAGAGGAAAAGCTATGATATTCAGGGATCTTTCATTTAGAAAAAGGCAACTTCGTGAACTAAACATGCATGAATTGGGGGAATTATAGTTTTGCAGGAAGGGACTTGCCTCAGCAACAGGCGAGGGAAGGGTCAAATATTTTCACCCGCTGCCACCCACCTCTTCTCCACTTTGCATTGCAAGAGCAAGCTGTCAAGCTTTTTCAAAATTCGTTGTTACCCAATAGCAGTACAGACTGGGGTGGGGTGGGGTGAGAACTGTCGTCCAAAGGGATTGGAAAGCCACCAAGAAGGCTTGTTTCAGACTCTCATAGAGACCAATACTAAGACTCTGATGCAGGTTTGGCCTATTTGTTTTGTGTATTTACAGACGGGCTGGTGGCATCTGTTCATAGTTCATGTTCCCAGAGTCAGCTTCTTGATAGGCATGGCTGAGTGTTTACTCTGTCAACACTGTGAAAGGGGGTAGGCAAATCAGTCTGTTCCAGTTCATGCCTCTTTCACATTTGTTGATGCATAAATCTGTCTTGTCCCTTTTCTACAGTCAACTGTGTTTTAAATCCACCCTTTTAAACATTTTAAACACATATTTTTGCACATACATGTTTCTAAACTTATTTTGATAGTCTCTCTCTTTTGAGCAGAGAACTGCACCAGAACATTCTGTAGAAGAGCCAGGGGACAACTTGGTCCCAATCCACACATTAATCTGGGAGGGAAGGGTCAGATTGGTTGCAGGTTTTTCTGTCCTATTTAGGACACCACTGATTTTTGTGGTAATGATTAAAAATATATATATCCAGCCCAGCTCTCTGAAGGGGAGGCAAATTGTCCTTTCCCTAGTCAACTGATGGATAATTTGATGGACGGGGAGAGGATGATACTCCTCTCCTTGGCTGATCCATGCAGATCAGCTGTAGAGGTGGGGCTCCATGCTTCTCTGTGGACTTGCCTGTGTACTTGCATGAGTGGTAACATCTACCATTGTCATGTAACCCCTAGCAGGTTGGCCAAGGGTGACAGAAAGAGTTAGCCACCCCTGCCATAAGCAACTACAAAATATGAGTGATATCCACCTCATACAGTAAACCCATTGATATCCATGGATTGGGTATCACCTGTTAGGATTTTTATCTATCCAAGCTGCTCCAGCAAGTGGTACTATGATTGTATAAATCATGTGAGTGTCTGAGAGAGCATGAGAAAGAAGTCTGTATTATCTTTTCCTTCCGAGTACTATTGGAAGTTAGTTTCACTTCTGTGTGTGTCACAGGTTTCTGTACTGGTGTTCAGAGAGCACAGACGTACTGGTGGAGTCTCTGTATATAAGACTGTAAATAAAGTAGTTTTAGAACTACAATTGAATCTTTTTTCTACCATGATATACCAGAAGACTGGCGTGCTCTTTTCAGGAGAGAAGGATCGATTATTACTAGCTACTCTGGACTGAAGGAGATTTACAGCCAGAGAGAGCCACTGGAGAGACGCTCCGAAGACTTGGGAAGCTTGCAGCCTTCCCAGGGCATTTTTCCAACATCACCCAGTGTTCACACCTTGACCAAATCAATGCACCGATGGAATGCAGGGACTGCCAACAATTATAAACAACAAAAGACATTCAGTGTGGCAATGTTTATTCCTTTGAGTTGAACTTTTAAAAAGGTTCACAGCTGCCAGATAAAGATATCTAGAACAGAAAAAGGAACATAATAAGGGACTCAAGACGAGATAGCCACCACAGAGGCACTTAAGAAAACGCCACAATCATGTAAGGCACAAACAAACCATGACTGACTGAATCCATATCTTGATACTGTGATGTTACACTTGTACAAAACAGATACGACGACTAGTACTAGTATGTGATCAAAGGAGAAGAAAGCTCAGCTGCAGGTTAGGTCAGTATAAATTATTTAATTTAAAACCCCCTTTATAAAAACCTGCTTTGAAGATTTTCGCTTTTATTTCCACTGGAACAGAAGCTCAGCCATTAATAAGGTTTCAGGGAAGAAGATGCTGGAAGGAATATTATGTTTAATCAATGGGTACATTTACTTAGGGAGAACTGTTAACTTTTAATTGCACTGTTCAAACTTGCCCAGGTCTCCTGTGGATTAGCTCTTCCAGTTTTCAAGCACACACTTTCCTAGTGTGTTGTAATTTTTCCTTTTCTGCGAAGCAAATATTTTATTTCTCCACTCTTCAAAATAGGCTTAAACTTTAGAAGCCTGCCTCTGGACACAGTTCTTATAGCACAGTAATATTCTAGACTAATGTTATGCTAGTTTCAGTTCCATAAACTGAACCTCTTGGGGGAATGGGACTTTCCAGAAGATGAAATCAGCTAGAGAAAGTAGAGTCCATCCCTTTAGGATAAAGTAGAGCCCTTCTCTTTCTGAGAGTGTTAATGAGCATGGAGGACCTTTCTGAAAAGTGAGCCACTATTTAAAAAATCACTGCAGATTTGGACAGGCCAACATCCAAGACGGTGGATGTATTAATTCTCATGTGCATGTGTTTTTGGTGGCCAGAATGCATGCATATAAAGTTTTTTAAGTTTACTTTTTGAGTTTGAAAAACTGAAATTTTACTCATGGACAGCTTTTTAGTGTCCCAGCCTTTAGGAGATGCATGCTAAATGTTCTTCAGATATCACAGTATTGCAACCTTTTCTGCACTTCTTCATATCTGCTGCCAGGATATTCCTACCAGAGAAAACTTAGTTAAAATCACTGAAAAAAAATATAAGTGTCCTGCAGACAGCCTTGCTCATACAGGCCCTGCAGAGCAGATCCCCACGCAGATCAGCTGGAGCCAGTACAACTTCAACCCAGTGTGGACACGCAGGGATCAGACCTCAAAGACAGATAAGAGTAGACATACTTGAAGCTGGCTGCTTATTATGTTAAGTTAATCTCTATGCGAGCAGGTCACCGGTTTTAAAATGTTGGCATTGGTCTTCTCTCCAGCACTTAATAATCTGCTTGATTTCCACTGATAATTAGAATTCAGGTGTTATCTTGGAACAGGACATCTTGCAGCAAAGATGACAATGTTTCTAAAGCCTTTAACAAGGTATTGCCAGAATATTCATCTGACTCAGTGCAGAGAGGGGCCCTTTAATGAACTATGCACCAATTCTCACTGCCAAGTGCAACAGCTGATTTTTCTGACCCCTTTGACATTTCAAACAGCAATACAATAGTTACAGCTCTGCAGTATTTGAACAGATACAATGGCTTTCAAATGCATTGATATAAGGGGCAATTAGTGCACACTTAGCAGCACCTTTTTCTCTTCATTGTCTCCTGGGCTCTCCATGTTCCTTCCCCTCCAGTTTTTGCAACCTTATCTATAACCTGTAGGGCAACACCATAGTCATTTACAGAAAAGATACAGTGAAATGTTGCCGTGCTCCTCTTATTCAACAGCCTTCATCGACATCAGTGGTGCACAGAGTCCTTAGTTCACTATGTCCTAAGTGTCACTTTCCCACAATTTGACATATTGATCTGAGTACAGTGGTACCTCAGGTTAAGAACTTAATACATTCTGGAGGTCCATTCTTAACCTGAAACCGTTCTTAACTTTAGCTAATTGTGCCTCCCACTGCCGCCGCACGATTTCTGTTCTCATCCTGAGGTAAAGTTCTTAACCTGAGGTACTACTTCCGGGTTAGTGGAGTCTGTAACCCGAAGTGTTTGTAACCCGAGGTGTTTGTAACCCGAGGTACCACTGTACTGCAGTTGACAGTGGGGTAAGGCTCTATGCACTCTATGCCAAAATATTTGTATTCATTATCCACAACACACACACACACCCTCAATAAACAAATGAAGTGATGAATGGATTGTCTCCCTCAAAAGATGCTGGCATTGTAGCCTGCTGCCCATTCCAGAATTGGGCATGTACACACACACACCCTTTGGCGATATGTCTCAACAAGGCCCATCAAAACTATGGCACTAGGGTTAACTTACAATAAGCACCCTGGTCAAATAAAACACTGACCCAGACATTCATTAAAAAATATTGTAGCCATAGCAGCATACACGCTGTCTTTACTGAATCAGTGAAGTGTAGGTTTAAAATTGTGTCAGATTTCCAATCACATATCGCAGAGAGTCAAGTGGCACTGCACAGAACAAGCACTTACTTAAAAATGTCATCAAACTCCATGCTGTGTTGTGTGCCTTACAGTCCTATAATGCCTTTCAGAGGAAGTAATTAAATTCCTAGTGTGAAGGGAAATCTCTGTCATGCCCTTCTTGTAAGCTCCACAGAGGCACCTAGCTAACCAATGGAGGCTGCAGTCCTATATCCACTTAAAAAGGTAAAGGTAAAGGACCCCTGACAGTTAAGTCCAGTAGCGAATGACTCTGAGGTTGTGGCGCTCATCTCACTTTACTGGCCGAGGGAGCCGACATTTGTCCGCAGACAGTTTTTCCGGGTCATGTGGCCAGCATGACTAAGCTGCTTCTGGCGAACCAGAGCAGCACACGGAAATGCCGTTTACCTTCCCACTGGAGCAGTACCTATTTATCTACTTACATTTTGACGTGCTTTCGAACTGCTAGGTTGGCAGGAGCTGGGACCGAGCAACGGGAGCTCACCCTGTTGCGGGGATTCGAACCACTGACCTTCCGATCAGCAAGCCCTAGGCTCTGTGGTTTAGACCACAGAGTAAATCCCACCAAACTCAGTGGCACTTACTTCTAAGCAGACATATGCAGGCTTGCACTACACATTGATAGAGTACAACCTTAGATGGACATTTCCTCTGAGGATCCAAGCAAGGCAACCTCTGTGTTCTTTTCCTGTAATGTTGTATGACATCATACACATTTTTGTCCATAAACAAGAAATAGGATGCTAGTTAAAGTATGATGCAAAATAGTCGGTTGTAAGTTAACGAAACACTCCTCAAAAGATTAAGATGCTGTCATTTTCTGAAGTCTAACACAGACAATTTATGAGGTGACAGCTTAACAGTTTGGATCTTCCTTCTCCCATCTGACCCTGATTTTGGTTCTGAACTCTCAAAGAAGTTTATAAATTCATGAGAATAAAACACTCTGCTGTTAAAGATGTTGGTCCTATCCTGGTGGTGGGGGAATTGCAACATGCTGAGTGCCCAGTATTTGGCTTGTAAAACCTTCCTCTTCTCCTTTCCCCACGTTATCTTAGGTATGATCAGCATTTATCAGCTCTGAAAGATTAATCACTTGGTAGATAAGAAGGTTGAAGAAAACATCATCCCTGTATTGACCCCACTTCTTGCTTTCTCCTCAGCTAAAGAGGTGATTGGAGATGGCAGGCACTTTAAATTCTTTGCATGGTGCTGGAGCTTAGTGGTACCCGCACCATGTGTTGGCTTGGGGTTTTCCCATAGCAACCTTTTATACTGTTAGTGTAAATTCATGCCCAGAAACCTGTTTCCATTCATGGATGGATGTAGAAGAAAGTTATATTGAAATATGTGGGACATGCTTCCAAGAAATGTTGCTGAAAGAACAGAAGTTCAGCAAGTTCAACCTCTTGCCTAAAGGCAGGATCATTCATCCACCAAATCTCATGGGCCAACTTCCAGACCAGAGGTAAGACTTCAATGTGCAACCGATTTCTGTTTCTGAAAAGCAGTTACATTCTCTCCCCCTCCCCCCCAAAAATCTCCACATTCTCATTTATCTCAATAAATGAGGAACTGAAGAAAGCGGGGAAACAAAACATTTGTGGAAAAGAATGATTAAATGGAAGAGCTGAGGATTGTTGAGAGTGTTTGAGTGCTTTTTTGAAAATGATCAAAAAGTAATTCACAACCCACTTTTTCATGTCTGATGGGTGAATTTATGTGACTGCTACATCATAACTTAGTTAGAACAGGGGAAAGGGGTGCAGTAAAGGAAATTACATTTTGCATAAAATGTGCTGTCTTTGTTCCCCGCCTCCCTCAGTTCTGCCAAATACTCCTAGGGCTGCATTCTTACTCACAACAGTATAGGGAAATGCTTCTTTATTAAGTCTGGTCTCTTGCCCTATCTTATGATGTTGATGGGATACTAAAGCAGAACAAACCACAAACAGCTGTATGCTCACCGTCCCCTCCTCTCTATAAACTAAATATTACAGGTGCTACAGATCCTCTCATACTACCTGAATGGCCGTCACTGACACCCAAATTATACATAGGAAGAAACCCAGAGCTTCTGTGGTCTCATACCTCTTTCCTCTCCAGTCTTTGTAATTTCTAACAAAACCAGTGTATAAAGCAAGGTGTGGGGGAGCCTTTGGCCCTCCAGATACTGCGGAACTGCAACTCCCATCATCCCTGACTATTGCTGGTGCTTGCTGGGACTGATGGCACTCATAGTTCAGCAACATCTGGAGGTGCCCCATATCTGGTATAAAGTGACCTCAGGTTGGTCATTTCTTTGACCCCCGCCTCACATTATTGACAGGAAGACTCACCGTGCTAAAATGTCACATCGCATCATATTTTATAATGTCTAATACGCTACCGAAAAACAAAACAAAGCAAAAACCAAACCCAGATAGCAAAGAGACACACAGCTAATGTCCCATCTCTTTAGCCCAAAGACAAGTGTTTATGATGCTTCCAAAAGATGACTGGACTGTGGCAAAGCTCTGAGAGGATGAACTATGAAGCACAAATGTAAAATGCTTCATGACAGACCCTGAGGGGAAGAGGCCATTGCTTGGTGGATGAGAAGATGCTTTGTATGCTGATGTTCAGGTTCAGTCTCTGGCACCTGTAGCTAAAATGAATTCAGATACCAAGCTGCTACCAGCCAGAGTGGGCAGTCCTGGGATAAATGGACCAGTGATCTGACTCTGCAACCTGTTATTATCACAGACTTGCCTTCAAAGACCCAACTGTGTGATACATTTTTGCATTCAGGTGAAATAATAATCAGACTTTGACATCCGATTACCATAATGTTCCTTGTTTAGAAAATATCAATCTGACAAGTGACATTTGAGGAATTATTATTACTTAAGAAAAAAGTTCAATTGAATTTAGTAAGATTTAGCCCCTAGTAGGTGTGCACAGGAACACTGCCTTGAATTACTAATTTCTTTAATAATTAAAATGGAATTAGCTTCACCACTGTTTTGACTAACAGATTCTAATTAGTGATAAAGCCAAGCACATTCTGATTGATGAAAAGAAGCAATTGAACAGTGCTTGCTCCCTCTGTGAGAAAAAGGGAAGGATCTAGAATTGCTGGCATGGTCCCAGAACCCAGCACAGCCTTCAGGAAGATGAGGATATACAGGCTGTCCCACTCGGGGGAAATCTTTAGCACCACCTCCTACATCATCCCAGCTTGAGGATGTGGTCCTTCCACTTTCCTTGGGTTCCAAAACTCCAGCAGCATCTCCATCTCTTCCATCTTGTAAACAAACAACAATAGTTCCAGAACACCACAAGGGTCATTTAATGGAGCACAGCCAGGTCTTCCAGGGAGATGGGAACAGAACAGACCTTACCAGCTTTCATAATGCTTCAGCCCTTTGCTGAGACAATATTCCTCCATTGCCTGAAACTGGGAAGAGTACACTTCTAAGCTAGAGGTAAAGAACTTTTGGCCTACAACTCCCATTATCCCTGCCTATTAGCCATGCTGGCTAAGGCTGGTGGGAGTTGAAGCCCAACAACCAATAATAATAATAATAATAAATTTTATTTATATCCCGCCCTCCCCAGCCGAAGCCGGGCTCAGGGCGGCTAACAACAATAAAACAGTACAAAAGTACAGCATAAACAACACTCTAAAATCATTCGTTATAAAATTAATTAATTCAAGCCACTGGCAACCATTGGGCCAGAGCTCCGTGAAGATTGCCGAGGGAGGGAGTCAGGCTGTGCCCTGGCCAAAGGCCTGGTGGAACAGCTCTGTCTTGCAGGCCCTGCGGAAAGATGTCAAGTCCCGCAGGGCCCTGGTCTCTTGTGACAGAGTGTTCCACCAGATCGGAGCCACAGCCGAAAAAGCCCTGGCTCTAGTTGAGGCCAGCCTAACTTCTCTGGGGCCTGGGACCTTCAAGATGTTTTTATTCGAAGACCGTAAGTTTCTCTGTGGGGCATACCAGGAGAGGCGGTCCCGTAGGTACGAGGGTCCTAGGCCGTATAGGGCTTTAAAGGTGCTTGCCTTTAAATCATTCAACCAATGACCTTTGCTTTAAACCTTTTCAGTTTCAAGCCAGGAGCCACAAGGCTGGGCAGGAGAGAGGCCACACATAGACAGGTTGAATTCTCATTACCCAAAACCAACATTTACTACTTAAAAACCTGCCCCTCAATTGCCTGAAAACTGCTTCTGAAGCTTATGAGAACATAGAAACAGCCTCCAATAGTGTCACCTGGAAAAGAAAAGGGGGCAGGGGTGGAGGCCACAGTGTGCAACAAGGTCCTTTGCTGTGCCTTGGGAGCCCCCTCAGGTTCTGGCTACTGCCCTAAAATTTCCTCTGTACCCGCAAGTAAATTGTGGGAAAGTGATCCATTATGAAAAAAGGGGAAATATCTTAATAACAGCAGCCCTGGGATACTGTTAACAAACCTAAGTCTGTACAAAGAATAGAAACAAAAAACATAACACCATCCAGAGGAAGAGGATGGTAAATTCATCAGGCCAAAAACTAATAAACCTTGGCATATCATTTTGGTCAAGGTATGGTCAACTTGGAAGTTAGTATAAATATACATATGTAACTCCCAGGGAGTCACAATGTCATTAGTAAAAGGTAATCCTGGTTTAGAAAAAAAAATGCAGAACAACTCCAAGACTTGGAAATCTTTTGGTAAGTATATGACTCTCCCATAATACCACAAAAGAAACATCATGTCTGTCCTATAGCTTGTTCCTCTGTCTTTCAAATTCCTAAGAGATGCTCTCTCAAGTTAAATGGATGTCTTCAGCTCCCAGTGGCACACTGCATAGCCAGAGCACAGAGAAACAGCCAGAGGCAAGCAACAGACTTCCCAACAGATTGAAATCTGGCATTCTGAAATGTCATTCTAGTTGGCCGTCTTGATTTCATTGGAGCTACTTGAGCAGCAAGATGTTGCAGTTCCATTTTGTAGGTGAAAAATGGGCTTCAAGACCCTTCCCACAGTGTACTTCCTGTGTGCCATCTCATTAAAAACCAAAGCAGAAGCACTTTCACACATAGAAATAATAAATCTTTTAACCTGACGAGGATGTTAATATCAGATAGGAAGTAAACATAGATTTAGTTCCTACTGCAAATCCAGGAAGTGCAAAAGAAAGCTAGTATCATTTTTATACACTTTTAAAATAATAGATCTTCAAGATGACGGTTCTTGAAAGGACCTTTCCCATAGCCTCAGAGGTAGACATGGACTCCATGTTACGTTTTAAGATACCTTTCCATATGGTATGGTTGTCAAAATTCAAAATCAAGTATCTATTGCTGAAGCTCGGATCCTGAAAATCATGGTTTCATTTAAGAAATAAGAAGTTGTAGTCAAGTGTCCAGTACTCATATAGAAAAGCTAGAAATGTTTGGATGCCTGCATGTTTTTAGAAACCAAAACTCTAAAAGGGAATTATCTAGGGAGCTGCACTCTTGTACCATGCACAGTTCTTTGTCCATCTCAATATTATTTCCTCTCTTTTGCCCACGTACTGCTGGAGTTCACGTTGGCCCCTCCCTGCGTGAAGTGCAGCACTAGTTTTCTTTCCTCAGCTACTCACAATGCCAGGCATTTCTAAATGCTCAGGGTACACAAGTCTTCATAACACTGCAGTGGTCAGATTAAAATGACAGACAGGAATCTTTCACAATTCACAAAACAGCGTCAACACGTTCCATGTGATAATCATTACAATGCTGTTTTGAGAGGCCATTGGCTGAGAGCAGGCTTTGGCTGTAGAAGCTCCCAGGTTACACCTCCAGCTTAAAGATCTAAGTTGTTGGGCATCTACTTAAGAACCAGAACCTGTTTGTAGATATTAATGGGCTAGATGGACCAATTTTCTGATTCAGTATATGGCTGCTCCTTGTAGATTATCATCTTTGGTAATTTATTCCCTGATTTGTACTGCCAAAGACATGAGAAAGGAAAAGCAACACTGGAAATGACCCCTAACTGGGATTTGCACCTGTATTTAGCCTGAGTTGATAGGTTCCTTCTTCGGATGGAAGGATGTGTCCATTTTGGTTCTCTCAGGTTTCACATTTCCCCCATCTTAAATTCAGTTCTCAACATTTTGCAGCAATTTGCCATGTTTTAAGAAATACTCATGAAAATTCACAGGCATGTTAGAGCGAATTTCTCCTAATAAACACGAAAGCTTTATGCAACTTTGGCTAATGTACACTTTTTAACAAACCTATTTCCCCATCTGCATTTTAAATATTACCTTTTTTTTACTAATATCTTCCTCCTAATATCTGCATTATTGTGAACATTGCTTGATTGGACAACTGCACCACAAAAATGCAGGGAACTGTGTTCCGATTCACATACTGTTTTGGAAAGTCCAAATCTGAGTGCGTAGTGATTTACACTTTTCCTACATTCCTAGTTCTTCATAATGCCACAAGTCAAAGGCAGGAAGTGACAAGGGGGAGGGTGTCTAACCAGGAGTCCCAACAGCATCAATACTCCCCAACCCCCTCGCACGCTTTAATCTGGTCCTGGTATTTTTAATGACCAGATTAAGGCTTGGCCATGTAAAATAAAATATTTGCAAACACATAACTCAAGCCTTAAAAATGTGTGTTTTCATTTGTTGGGTTCACTCAGGTGCAACTGCTCTTGCATTCTCGGAGTTAGCACATGGTTGAATAGTAGGTTGCCTATGTGTTCTAGAAAATGTGCCATGGAGTGTGGAATCCCTCAAAAAAAAAAAGAGAGACCCCTTCCAGCTTTTTGGCAACCCTTCTCTGCAAAAAAAACAAACAAACCCCAAGAACAGAAACCAAAAAGTACTTCTGAAGAAATAGACCCCTAAATTTGTGTAGAATGTTGACCCTGGAATTTATTCACTCAGATAATCTCTTCGTTTAATTTTCATTCTCCCAAAGCATTTGGAGGCAGTGGAAATGTTCGATCAACTACTTTTCTCCCACTGTGCAATGATTTTTGCTTTGCCACTGTGGTGAGATCAACATAGTAGTTGATTTTGTAAAAAAGGAAAACGTCATGGCAATACACTGGGCTCCACCAGACCACTTAAAAAAAACACCCCAAAATAATAATAACAGCAGCAGCCCACTTTGTAATGGCCTCAGAAATACATATTGGACCCTTTTGCAAGATAAAGTTTCATAGGAGAAATACATGGGATAATTGAGAATTGCATTCATCACTACCTGGCAAGAGTAAAATGATCGTGCAAATGCACACACATCTGCCAATTCTTATTAGATTCACAGATCGGTTTTCAGTTTTTCACCAGAAGTCCCCTTTTAAATGTGCAGAGCCCTACTGCAGTCGCTGATGTCAAGAGAGCACAGAAGCCAAACAACTTGAGAAGTCCAGGTACAGAAGGCAAGTTCCTTTCCCAAAAGGTGGTAGTGATTGGCAGGGCTGGGACATCCTGGATGAAAGAACATTCACTATTAGTGTAAGGCAAATGTGAAGTTCTTCTTAGGTGGCAATCTCAGTCACATCTATTTGGGTATAACTAACAGCCATGGAATTATGCAGGACTTGCTTGTGACAAAACATGCACAGGTTTCACTGTTAGTTACAGATCCTGTATATAGCATGTCACAAAATGGTTGATAAAATTAATAATAATCCAGCACTATTTCACCTTAAAGGAAGAACTGCAAACTTACGAGTGATTCTGGTTCTGACTTCCAAATTTCTGCTTCTGAAATCTTCCCCATTGAGTGCAATATCTAAAAATGAAGATAACATTTACATGGCTTCCTTTTATTTCCAAATACCTTGGTAAAGGCTTCCCGAAAATTATACACTAAATGCACACCAAGGTTTCAGATCTTTCTGAAATGAGTGGGAGGTGCACAGATTCACACGTAATGCAAATTTATCAGAAGGGCCCAAGATTTAAGGGCATATCAAAACAAGCTAGGCAAAACGTTGCCCCCACAGATGCTGCCATGGGAATACATCCTGCATCTGCAAACCAAGTAAAGTTTCAACTGACTTTAAAATGGACTATTTCCTGGGAATAGTCCAAAATACTGCAGGCCTGCCCTAATCCCTAATATCCAATTTCAAGCTCTCTTTCCAATTTTAAAATGTATTGCATTATTTTAAGCACAGTTACAAACAGAGAATGTGTTCCGCAGTCTGCAGCCATCAGAGATCCAGCTGGTAAGACAGGGCCTGTTCAGTTGTGGCACCCATGTTTTGCAACCCTCTCTCAAGGGAGGCTCCACTTTATTAGAATTCCAGTCCATTTTCCTTTCTTTTGTCGCATTTTGGGATTCATTTGACCACCACTACCCTTCCTTCTGTGATTTTATGTACTGACTTTCCCACTTTGGTGGCTTGCTTGTTTTTGTTGATTATTTGCTTTTAATGGGTGTCTCTTAAATTGCTTGGCCAAATCGTGGAATACAAATATTTTAACCAGCAAATACAATTGCCCTTTATTCAAACATATCAGCAGTGCAATCCTATATGCCCCTATGAAAGAAAAAAGGCCCACTGAGTCCAATGCGGCTTACTCCTAGATCCGTGAGTATAGGATTGCAGCCTCACAAGGCCTTTTTACTCAGGACTCACTGTACCTCTCTGACGGCTCTCTCTCCAGCCTGCACTGCACCTTCCATGTAGCCGCTCCATTCTGAAGCCGTCTCAGTGCCTGCAAAGAAGATTCTCCCAACTGGCTCACGAATTACCCTTTAAAAGAGGCACAGAATATGGAAAGCATGAGGGACCCATTTCTCTAAACGTAAGTCAGAGACAAGAGCATTCCTAATATCATTCTACCACATCAGCATTGCAACCTATGGCAGATTGCTTCTGGCCCCCTTTCCCAACTTTATGAAATCCTTTCTGAGGAGAGGAAAGGTGACTAGAATTGCATAACAGTCTTCTGATACAGAAAGTTTTCAAGGCACAGAAATCTGAGTTCACATACAGAGCACCCTTGTTGGGCAAAGGCATTGAATTCCAACATTAATTACGTAATTTGTTAGCTTACTACTTTGATTTATTAGAGACATATTATAAACTCAAGGGTTGTAACTGAATGTTAATCAGAGCTGTTATGTATGCAAGGATGCTCTGGGCTGATGGCACTGATATAAGTAGCAACATAAAACCTTTGCTTCAGATAATATGCTTCAGATATTTCCAAATAATAAATGCTTTATCTTGAGTGAGGAAGTTACTTTTACTGAACACCTGCAAACTCTCACCAACACTTAGACGTTCTAGTACCCCTTTAATTAAGGATGCACACTTTCCTGGGATCTCTTGCATAGGACTGAGCTGTTTGGAGCTAATTAACTCATTAAAGGCATGGTCGCCAATCAACAACAAAACATGAATCTGATTACAGTTTTTATTAACTGCTGAAACAAATGCAACCTCCTGCCAGTCATCGCGTAATCACAAGCTAGGGAATTGTATTTCAGATGTTATAATCTCCTCAGGTTTCTTTCTGTAATGAAACATTCTTGCTTATTGTTAACATACCTTCCAAACTGAGTCATTATCCCTGGTGGGAAATAGGCTGTATAGCACCCGCCAGAATATTGTTCTTCACACCAGTTCTTCTCTTCATAGTGCACTGGCTAGAAAGGCAGAGTTAACAGGGTTAAAAGTAACAGAGGAAGCTTAAAAAACAAAACAAAAAAAATCAGAAAACTTATTTCAGAGATCTGTGAGGAATACCCAGTGATTTCTCATGTCACTTCAAAATTTACACATCTATTTACAGATAAAGCCACTCCAATTTGAAAATACAGGTCAGGTAGCACATTTAAAAGTGTAGGTAAAAATACTTTAAAAGAGAAAAGAAAATGGGTAACACACATAAACTTTAATCCCGCTCTGCCCCACTGCTTTGTTAAAGGTTTCTTAGAAATGTATTATAATAAGGTACAAAAAAATATAGCAAGTGCTTACTGTTCTCAGTCCATCTTTGAAAAAATTGAAATGCAAAATACATCTTTGAAAACCCTCACGTGGTTGACTGAGATCCACATGTGAAATATTCCCAAATACCAACACTCAAAGTGAACCTACTGGTTTTCTGAGGTCATGGATTGTGTGTCCAGCTTCACGGACCATGACCTCAGAAAACTAATCCAAGATGACTAGTCTTATAAATCTTCCAAAAGATGTTCAAGCACTGTCCTGGGGCCTCAGAGGAGGATTTGGTGCCAGAGTATTGTCATACAAAAAATTTACTAGGATTCATCTGCTAAAGGAGGAGAATGCATGAAGCCCTGCTAGCTGTATCATCAGAGCTAATCATTAATAAAAACAATATATATTATCCTCTTACATGCAAGGCTTCCTGGGATCCCAACACCTTTGCATAGAGCTCACAGATCCTTCTTTTCCTATAGCAGAAATACAAGAAAAAACATATTGCTGAGCTTACGTTTCTGAAACAAACCATAGTTTGCTCTGAATCTGGATTTTATCACCTCAGTTTCTAAGATTACTATTTACAGGGATTGGTGCTATACATTCTAAAGGCCCTCATAAACATCATGGGCCTGAGCCTGCTAGGGACCACCACCCCACACACAGTCTGCATACAACATCAGCAGCAACAAGGCTAGCCCTATTGTTGGGCTGCTGGCCTTCTGAGTGAGACTGCAACATGGGGCAGCTTACTGGAGTGTCACAAACAGGCAGCAAACATTATTGCTGCATTTTTAATGTGAGGAAAGGGAAAGTGGTGCTTATGGGATTTTCTGCCTTGGGTACCAAAATAACATGGCCAGCCTTGGAGACTCTGCCTTTTGTGCTCTTCCTCAGGTAGCAAAATTTCTCTGGATGGCCCTACTGAGTAGCCACATGTGCAAACAGATCCTATGTGTGCAGTTTGAATAGATGGGCCTGTATGCATGGAACAATTCCTTTAAAAGGCTAAAACAAAGCTTTGCCAATTGTCTGTTCATAGGAGGATAGAAGCAAATGGAAATGACCCCCTTTCCTTTCCCCACCCAATGGCTGATCAGTGGGATTCTCACTTTTTAAAAAATGCATTACAGGCTGCTCTGTGTCACAAGAGTTGCATTGTATCCCCTGTGCTTGCTATGAGCCAGTTTCACAAATGACTCCCATAAACTGATTGGGTGCATACTAAAATTGCACAAAGGCACAGTGTGGAATCCATGCATGAAAATAAGCTTTGATGCATCGTTGGTGGGTCTTCTGGACATGTTCCCACATACACAAAGACTGCTGCAGGAGGTGCTCCCCCGCCCCTGCCCATAGAGCTCATCATCTGTTGCAAGAACAAGGCTGACTCCAGGCCCACCCTCTCGCACTATGTTGTCATAGATATTATGACCGTGCATTGTATATATCAATTTCTGGACTGCGGAGTCGTAGTAACTATGCACCGAATGAAATACTTTAAACTTAGCAAATACCAAACAGCATTAATTTGGAGACCATCGAAACCATCAAAAACATCATTACTTCCTTGACTCCATTTTGTCCTGGGAGTCAAAACCTATATGAAATATATTTGCAGCAGAATCATTTATTTGTTTATTTACAAAGAATATTTGTATGCTGCCTGCTCATGTAAAAGATGTAAAGCAGTGCACAAGATATACAAGCACAACAAAACACAAAACAATACCCCCCCAAAAAACCCAATAAAATGAATGGCTTGTCAAGAAAGTTTAAGCAGCTGCATAGACCTGTTAGCGCATAAAGGTCTTTGCTGCTGAGCTTTACATGGGGCAACACTGGGAGTAAGGAGGAGGAACTTGACTGGCAGTGCAACCACCTGGTCTGGCTGTAAGTAAGAAAGAAGGGAGGCAAGGGTTGGTTGAGGCTGGTGGAACAGTGCTCCACTTGCCCTAGTGAGTCAGTCTCCACTGATTCTACCACCATATGAATGAATGAATGAATTTATTATTTCGGTCACAGACCAGTTACAGCTCACATACAAAATCAGGGAAGTCCATATGGGAATGGAAAGAAAGGAACATCTTGGGCTGCCAGAAAAAAAAAATCCAGAGGTTTATTGTTCATACCTTTCCTCCGCGGTGAGGTGAGTCAATTTTCTGCATTTCCGAGCAAGGATAAAACTAAAATACAATAATATAGAACAGACTCTTACTTCTATCATCATAATAGAATCAATAATAATTATAATTTAGATTAAGACCATATGATGCCAGTGGTTTTCAATCATGTCATAAAGTCCTTTTTCAAGACTTATGCAGGCTCTGTCAGGTAGCATCTTTCCACACAACGTGACAACACAGAAACACCAGCCATCTCACTTTGTCTCTCCTTCCATGACATTGTGGAAGAAGAAGAAGAAGAAGAAGAAGAAGAAGAAGAAGAAGAAGAGTAGTAGTAGTAGTAGTAGTTTGGATTTGATATCCCGCTTTATCACTACCCTAAGGAGTCTCAAAGCAGCTAACATTCTCCTTCCCCTTCCTTCCCCACAACAAACACTCTGTGAGGTGAGTGGGGCTGAGAGACTTCAGAGAAGTGTGACTAGCCCAAGGTCACCCAGCAGCTGCATGTGGAGGAGCAGACACCATACTGGAAAGGGGGAAGCATGGATTTTTCTCATGGAAGCGCCCAAGGGCACTTGACACCTGGTTGGCACAGCTTATGCACTGTACACACAGGAAACAAGAAACTCCACACTTGCCTGTTACCAAAAAATGTGTGAAAAGGTATGCAGGTTATAAACTAAATAGGTGCAAACTCAAACATAGTAGACCGAGACAAGAATTCTTCTTCACAGACAGCTTTTTATACCCCTACAGGATATATAAAGCCAATGCCCTGTATTATGGTTGCTTTTCTGTATAGAATGATGTCCCAAGTGTATGGTACAGTTGCTCAAGTCAAGCATGTATGGTACATGCTTAAGTCAAGACACAAATGATAGTCTCTTCACATTTCATTTCTGATTCTCTTCCTCTCTTAAAAGACTCAGAAGGTGGCTTTTTAGTATTCCTTACCCAATTATTGCTGGAAAACTTCCATCGGGTTTAGTGTCATCTAGTGTCAAACCAATAGCTGCATCCTCATCTTCAATTATCATGGTGCCACAATAATCTGAAATGGGAGTGAAAAGTGAATCCATGTATCAGTAATCTAGGTAGTTCTAACAACTATGTCACTCTCATGCCTCTAAATAATATATCTTAACAACATCTCTTGACAACAGGGGCACCACAGGAACATTAAATTTAAGGCAAGGTATATGCAGCAATTTAAAAGTCACAATACACAGCTACTTAAAGTGGTTGGGAGAAACTACATAGTGAAAGGGCCTTTAGAAAGCCCTCCTAGTAGGTCCCAGGAAGAATTATTCCCACCTAGACTAATGTTCCCAAGATCACTTGACTGTGGATATTTATTTATTTATTTATTTATTTATTTATTTATTTTAGTTATTATTACACTTATTACACTTTCCTCCAATGAACTCAAGGTGGCATGTGTGGTTCTGCCCCTGTCCATTTCATCTTCACAACAACCCTGAGAGAAAGCAACTGGTTCGAGGGTATCCAGTCAGCTTCTTGGCTGAGTGGTCCAGCATTCTAACCACTATACCAAATTGGCCTTCTGGGAGATGCCAAGAGTTGAGCCCTAAGAGTGCCATGCACCACCATTATGTTTGGATTTCTAGAAGTTTCTGAGATTCCTGTATTGTACTCTGCAACTGTGTGAGGTAACAGCAGGCTTTAAAAAAGAGAGAGAAATGGATAGTCTTTGGGTGGCTGCCAGATTCTGGGTTACCATGGTAATTCTTCAGGCACAGAGAATATTGACAACTCTTTGCATAAGATCTTGTTCTCCATAGTGCACCACATTAATCATAAAGATAAAAGACGTAACCCCATCTTCAAAGCACCTTCCCCAGGGAGGGTCCAGTATCTTTTTGGCACTATTTGCTCAGGCCTTTTAGACTCCCTTTAAAATGCTGTCTTAGTAAGGGTTGTTTGCTGCCTTTGGTTTTAATATGCGTTGTCTCTTCACGGCTGTTCCACCATCTTAATGTTACTGTTTGCTTTAATTATTAGCTTTAATTGTTTGCTTTTAATTATTAGAATTGTTAGTCACTTTGGGATTCAAGAACACATACACTTTATGCATCTATTTCAACATGTGGGATGGATCCAGACCCATACTGCTGGAAGGGAATGGTGGTGGAAGACAACTTTATCCACTTCCTCCCTTCCCCTGATGTCGCCAGAGGATTGGGGGGACCCTTTGAAACAGCATAGGAGGGAGGGGAGTAATAATAATAATAATAATATCACCTCCCTCCCTACCATGAGCAGGATCAAAAACCTTCAGTGAAGGAACCACAGACAGCAAGATTGTGCCTGTCTAGTTCTCCATCTATGTGTCTATCTCTCTAAGATGATACTGAAGAAGACAGCATGAGAACAACATGTGAGAAAAAGTATAATTTAGGGAGATTCTGCATGTGCCCCTTCCCTTCAGTCAGCAAGAAATACCTTTTTTCCTCCAGAATGCTTCCTTGTAGTATACTATGCATTTGATGACTGATCCCATAGGAACCCGGCTGATCAACTGATTCCTCATTGAAGGCAGCGGTGGGTTAAAGTGAATCTTCATACAAAGTGCTGGAGGGATGGCACTAATAACATACTGGGCCTTGAAAAGAAATACAAAGAAAAATCAACTCTATCTTCACAGGATACTTGAAACTGCTTGTGTTATTCTAGGAGACTTCCGGTTACATTTCAATGAAAATTTGACTCACAAAAGAGGATACAAACTTCGCATCAGGTTACAGGTCACAGAAATTTAAAGTGACAAGCAATTTTTCCAGTGATGACAGAAATGGACCTTTGAATTTTTCCAAATGGCTGAACAAATTGTTGAAAAGGCTCTTTGCAACACAAAGAACACAAGGATAGTTTTAGATACCATTTAGATACCAGGCGTCTCCTGGGAAAACATATAGGACAGCAACCACAAGGAAAGAGTACAGTCACAACAGACAAGAGAAATAATTAAAAGTAAGAAAGTAAGAAAGCACAATAGCATAAACTCATTAAGGAACTTGCAACCAACATGCATTTAATTACATTACATTAGTAATTTTTCTAAAAAAATTTTTTAAAGGGGACTGAAAGGGGGTAAAAAGGAAGAAATACTTTGGGATTCCTGCTTGCTATTGAACCCAGTGTGTTTTGACTATACATGATTTTGGTTTTATGCACTGTCCCCAGAATGTAACCCCCACATGAGTTGCCTGTACCAAATCAATTATTGCATTGAGATATGGCAATCAAGCCATGGCTTACACACACTCTTCTATCCTTTCCTGCTTCCTCAGGGTATGAAGGGAGATTAAATCTTGAATTCCTGGTTTGCAGCAACCTGCTCACAATTTTGTTGTCCAAACCTGGCAAACCATGGTTTGTGCAAACTCTATTTGCTTCTAAACCACAATCCCAAACCATAATTTGATCTGTGCTTGAGATCTGCTTTGTGGGTAAACTATGAGGAAGGAATGAGGAAGGAAAGTTTATCATCTCTTCTCTCACAAACAGAGGAAGGAGAGGGGGAGAAAGTGAACAGGTCCATGGCATAATTCGCTCATGTTTGTAACAGCAAACTGTAGATATTTAATTGAACACAATCGTTTGAACATTTTTGTTTGTTGGGATTCTTTGCCCAACTAACAAATGTCCTTTATATCCTCTTCTCCTTATATGACGAAAAGAGAATCCTTGTATATATTAGAACTGTAAGCTTTTAAATCACCTCGTATGTTTCATGATCCAGTGTCTCCACAATGACACTTTCACCAGTCTGATCAATGGAGGTAACAGGCTTCTCTAGTTTAACCAGCTCTCCTAGATATTCCATGATCTTCTCACAAATTTGGCCAGAACCTCCAACGAATTTCCTCTCCTGGAAGATAGAAAAAACACACAACATAGTTCAGCAGACCAAATTGGTCGCTTAAAATGATACCCAGATGGAACAGATGAACCACAATAGAACCCCCTTCATATTAATATTTTTCTTCTGGCTGGGCTACACACACCCAGCACCTTCACATGTTGAGCATGAAGGTCTAAAGGTGGCTTCTAGCCATGTCTGGAAGCCTCTGTGCAGCTAAGAATCCTGTTATCAGGGCTTTCAAGCTAGAAGAGGCTACTAAGCACATTCAGCCCCCTTCAGACCATCCAAACAAAAATATCAATGTCAGAGATGGTGTGGCCAGTGCATGGAGAACATGGAGGGCATATTCTGCCCTCTGGGGACATTCAACCCTCACTCAATCAAGCTGAACATCTGAAATTATTGCCATAATTATTGAACACAAATAACCGGGGGAGGAGGGGTATTTGTTCACTATACCTGGCCTCCATTGGTTGTTGAAAATATCCTGGATGTCCCACCGCACTGTTTAACATACCACAGGAACCACAGAGCGGAGACCTCATGGGGCTCAGAGGTAACATCGACATTGACAAACAGAGTAGCAAACCGCCTGGCAGCACTGCACACAAATCCAAAAGAGAGAGGGAAAATGTTGAGTCTGGCCTCCCCCCTGCCCCACCTTCATTATAGGTGTGGAGGTGCAGGATTCTTGCTGGACAGCTCTTACTGCATGCACAGGGAGGGGTGGCTAATATCTCCATTCTCCCTTTTCATGTAACGGTGGTGGTGGGGGATCTCAGTTCCAATCATGGTGGGAGGGTGAGATGCCTTCCCAGTAAGAACTGGGATACACCCATGCCTGCTGAGTATTTAAAGAAAAACAAGATATGCCACTATCTCCAGGGCACATCATGAGAAGACAGCAAATGGTTAGTTAATTTATAGGGAGGGAAAGAGGTGTTTTTCCTGCCTCAGGTGCCAAAATAACTTTACCAGGCTTGGGTATTAATCACTTTAACATGGGGAAGGGGAATGCTCCACTTTGGCAGTCCTAAGTTCAACAGCTACTGAATGGCTGTGTGTGTCCACGCGCATGCATGTACATGTATACATACAGTATGTACCTATATGTGTGTATATATATGCACACCCACACCCCAGTGGAGTGCAGCTAAAGATTTCTATCATAGCTATAAATGCCCTGTTGAATGGTCCTTTGAACTTTTCATTTACTATTCCACTTGAGACTATCAAATAATTCATGTATTGAAAGGAATTTTTTTTAATAAAAAACCCACAGCTTTATAATTTTAATTCTTTTATAAACCAAGGGAGCCAAGAAAATGTCAAATAAGTGAAAACCAATGAGAAAATATTATTCAGGCAATGTTATTTTTTTCTGATTAGTTCTTTCCAGAAACCAGCATGCCCCATTTGTTCCTACCTGAAAGAGCACACTGTGCTTAAGGAAAGTGTTGGCCTCCAGGGAAGCCTGACATTTTGATCTTTTTGTGCATGATTTTGACAGCAGAGTATTATTTCTAAATGATCAACCACTGAAATAGCAACACTGCAACTGCATGCAATATTTATCACATGTTTTCACATATAAATCTGTTACTGTTCCTCACCTTCTTGAAATGCTTCAAACAAACAAGGCAATAAATAAGTGACCCAAAAAGGCTGAGAGTTCTTTCCATGATATTTGAAAAGCAAAGGAGTGAATTAAATATTTCTTTGGCATATAGACTAATATTCTGTTATGAGAGAACCATAACTGGAAGCAATAGAGGCAAAATTTTCCCCTTGTTCGTATTTTGATAATATTTAGTATTTTAAGAAATTAAGAGGAAACAAGGAATGCTCCAGTACTACCATCTTGGCAAAGGATGGGGACAGGATACAAAAATCCCCCTTAATGTTATAACCACTGTAACCATCAGGGATCTGGACACAGAGTCAGAGGCAACAGGGGCACCAGATGGGGAGTCAGTGGAGGGCTCAGAGCTGATTGCTGAAGATAGGGAAACCATTGCACATGAGGTGGTTGGACAGGAGGCCCCAGAGGAACTTCCCTATAGTACTCTCATGGGCACCTTCCCCTGACCCTGAAGCACCAGTTGCCTCCCAGTGAACATCAGCTGTCCAGCAGCACAGGCAATGCACCAGGAGGGAAGCTATGGAACAGGTGAGAAGTGACTGTGCACAAGCCAGAGGGTTGGGTCTTTAAATCAGTAAAGCTCACTCAAGGGAGCGGAACCTGGAGGAAGCAGTCTGGAAACAGAGGCATAAAAGACCCCAGTCCGCTCCCAACCTTCGTTGGAGCAAGTTGCTCACTTGGAGCTGTCCATGGTCCAGTTTTGATCTGCCTTGCCTCCTTCTCCATGGAATCTGACATCAGACCAAAACAGGGCACATAAGTAGTGCACAGTCCTGGTTTCTTTCAATCTTCTGTTTCTGGCACAATGTTGAAAGACCCTCCCAAATCTCCCCCATGTCCAAATATTTGTTCAATATTTCAGAAGTGGGTCCTCAGAAGCACCTCTGAGCACACCATGCATCGCATGCAGCGCTGTGGGTTTTGTCCTAAATAACAGCAGTCTTCAGTCCTAAGTAGGTTAGTGGTACAACACATGCTTTCAATCTGTCGCATGCTTACAATCCTGGGAATATCCAGGTAAGGCTAGAAAAGACTCATATGAGCAACCCTAGAGAGCTGCTGCCAATCAACATAGACCAGGAGTAGCCAACACAGTGTCCTCCCGATGCTGTTAGACTATCTCCCAACATCCACAACAATGATGATCCCAATGATCAGTGATGATGGGAGTTGCAATTCAGCAACACTTTGGGCTGGATTGGCTATCCCTGGGATAGTCAATGCTGAGCTAGATGGACCAGTGATATAAATAGCTTCCCATGTTCCTTTGACTTCTTGCTCTTATGTTCCAATCAATCCAGAACTAGTGCTGTGCCAAAATATTTCTCCAGAGTTTTATTTCCCTGTGAAAAGAGTCGTTTTTCCCTGCCTCATTGTCAGGGCACTTCAGCATTTCTGTGGGTGTAGGATTTTGAGCTTGCCTTATAGTTTAAGAGAGCAGTGGTGTGTGCATCTTTCCAGAAAACATTTATTCACCACTGTGCAGCCTCCCTGGCTGCCCCTGATTCCTGATCTGAAATGCTCCATGGAATGAGTTATATTTTTATGTGTTCCCCTAGGCTTTAATTGAAGCATGGGTACCTGGGCAGGCTGCAGAGTGCAGACTACTGGTGAGATGATTTGCAGAATAAAAGAAAGGACACTCAAGCCCACCCATTGGCCACCTTGAAAGCAAGGTAAGCACAACAAAAACCCTGTACCCTATCCATGAAAATTTCACCAAAAGCTTCTCTCGGTTTTGATTATTTTTGAATGCAATTTCTTAACATTTGATAGAGAACATTTAAAAAGTGAGAGAGAAAATTAGCACAGCACTCATTTAGAACATCAGTGTACACATGCCATGGTAGAGACTGCATGCATGCACTCCATGTCTCTGGAAGGTTTTACTTCCATGCCTTTAGAATTAACTATACAGGGAAATGGATGGCTCCTATTTTATTTGTATGTAGTATGGCCCTTGTGTGATTCATCATTTGAAATATGTAAAGTTTATAGGAAATTATCAAACACACATAGCTTTCTGGCTGCATTAGAGCTTGCCAGACCTAACTAGGCACCTAATATATGTCATGCATCTCATTCCAGCATGCAATGCCATATAATGACAAATTTGTTCAATTTGTCAACAGAATGGAAGAAAAATGGAGATTACCCTTCAGCTCCATTGCATCCTAGAGAAGGGAAGCCATTTCAAAAAACATAAATCTTGATCACAAAGGCAGATCAAATGCATAGAAGTACATGAAACATGCACATCGATAGGCTTCTAATAAGAGAGAGAGAAATGAGGTTCACCCAAAGGTCTTTCCTGGGGCTTAATATGGGATAGGACTCAGTTTGTGTAGGAACCATTGGTTTTAATTCATTTTATCTAAACCACATTCTCCCGGAAGCTGAAGAAGAGTGGAAGGTCTCACAACCCTCCCAGCTGAGCATTAACTTGGGAATGCTCACTGCAAAAACAAAAGTGTTAAGTGCTAGAAAAACAAATGCAGAAACAGAAACAGAAAAACAAGAAAGCCTAACACTAAAGTAGGGGCAGTGAACTGGATCCAGTGGGAGAGCAAGATCCAACCCTCCACAAACTACTTCGACAGGCTGGCAGGGGCACCCATCTGTCAATTACCAGGTATCATATGACACCAGGTAATTTAAAACTTTCATGAAGAACTAGGAGCACCTTCTGGGCCAGATAGGGAGACATGGGCAGACCACCTTAGCCCATGGCTTGTAGGCTCCCCACCACTGATGGAATGTTGCTTGTGTGGTGCTGTCACTGAAGAGTTCTTAGAAATGACCTCTGGTAGAAAATGGGACTAACAAATTGACCAGAGTTGCTAAGAGAAAATAAATTAAACAGCTCCCAGATTATTTTTTTTAAAGGGCTGTGGCTTTCCAGATGTTGCTTGGCCATTGTCCATGCTGGCCAAGGCTGCTTGGAGTTGGTACAAAATCATACTTCGTAAACCATGGGTTGCTTAACCCCAATCTATTTCCCTGTTGCTAGTTTTATGGTGGCAGATAACATTTTTATTTCTAGGAGCATTTGAAGTCCTTTGCTGTTTGGGGGTTTGGAGTTTTCCACTGCTAGTCTGTTTTGTTTATTTATTTTTTTACTCTTCCTAAACTCAGCAGAGCTTACATGAGTAGACATGTGTATGATCACACTGTCAGAGCAATATAGACACATTTCCACATGCACATTATTTCACTGTATCTCCCAACTGTGAACACAATTCATCATTCACTATGATAAAGATTAATATTATTGTAGCAAATAGATAGCGTTACTTCTCAACTTAGGATAGAGATGTTTCCTCTAGGTACTATTGCTATTGAGCTTATCAATATGGAATGTATAAAACTGCATCTCACTTTGTCCAGCACACTTTGTCTATCAATTCTTGCATAGTCATTTTGTCCCATTCCTCTGCATGGGGCGCCTTCCATGGCGCTTCATTGGGAATCTAAGAGAGAAAGAGAGTCACATCTCAAGAAAGAAGCCACAGATCTCCTATGTAGAAATAATTCACTCTCTTCACTTGCTCCATTGCTTTCTCCACAGGAGCGCCATACTAGTTCACTTCTAGACTACTTAAGACTTTAGAAGCAGAATACTAACAGGATTCTCTAGAAAAATAAACTAAAGTTTCATTTATCCATGACACCAAAGAGTTTTCACCTTCTGCAAAGCCCTCTGCTTCCCAGTTTAGTAAAAGAAAATAAAGCCTTTGTGCTTTGGGAATTTATTCTGCCTATCAAACTGCAGTGTTCAATGGGCTGGACAGATTTTTCATTGAAAATTTTAAAATACTATATAGCATATTTTAAATTAATTAAGTCCTGTACTCTTTTAATTGGGTTTCCCACACAATAAACTATTATTAAGTCTGCAATGTTATATACCCTTACTTGGGAATAAGTTCGAAATAGCTCATTGAGAAGGTATGGACACAATGCTATGGATGGAATACTGAACTGAGCATCATGTGCATAATGGGCACAGGCAGTCACCTCTAGTGAGGCTGCAAGAAAGAGATAAAAAGCATTTTCTCCAATTTCAATTGAATATGGCCTGCCATTATATCCAAAGTAGATAAATGCTGTTTAGTTTGAACTTTGATTTATCCTAACAAGCCAACTTCCAACCATGTCTTATGGACCTTGCTCGTTCAGATAAACCATAATTTAAAAAACTAACTACACTTCCTAGTCCAGACCTAACATCAAGCTGTGGTTAGGTGAAATGGAAGAGGACACTGGAGCAGGAGAGGGGCGATAGGAGCCCATTCATTTATTGCTAAACATGAAGACTCATTCTGGGTTTTTGTTTTGGAATAAGCCATTTAGAACTATGAAATGGATTGGCTTTTATTTGTCTTGCTTTATTTGTGAATTTTTGGAATTCTTATGCTATTTATAGCCTATATATTTATTTAGTCCTACATAGTTCAATGAGACCTACAAACAAAGACCTACAAATAAATGCTGCATAGGATTGCAGTATTTATTGTTTGTTAATTTTGATTGTTTTTATTACAAACCCCCCCTCAAAGGGTTATCTTGATTATTTCTTTATCTTGAAATTAGATTTGTATGTCTGCTTCCCTGTAAGTGACTTGACCACTTCCAGATAGCAGAAAAATACCAATCCAGCAGTGCAGGAAAGGGGTCAAAGGCAAATTTGTACTGCAAAGGGGTGTGAGAGAGAAAAGAGTATTCTGGAGCAGGATGGAGGGCTGCAGGGGTCAGCAAACATTTTCAGCAGGGGGCCGGTCCACTGTCCCTCAGACCTTGGGGGGGGCAGGACTATATTTTTTTGGGGGGGGATGAATGAATTCCTATGCCCCACAAATAACCCAGAGATGCATTTTAAATAAAAGCACGCATTCTACTCATGTAAAAACACACTGATTACCGGACCATCTGTGGGCCAGATTTAGAAGGCGATTGGGCCGGATCCAGCCCCCGGGCCTTAGTTTGCCTACCCATGGCTTATGGGCACTGAAGCTCAAATGAAAGGGTTCTGATAGATGTCACCAGTCTGGACAATAAGCTGGCGTTTACCTCCTTCCCCATTTCATCCATTGTCCTCCACAAATTGTTGTAATCCAAATAGGCAATCGGATTCCACATTGGAGGGAAAGGGCCTTTGAACGGATAAGATTTGCCCTGCAAAACAGAAGAAGCAAGAAAAAAACACCACTCAAATCCATTTGCTTATTTTCCTCTATTTTGATTGAAAAAAGGATGCAATTCAATATAGAAGATCCGTTTTAGAGAACAGATCTCTCAAATGAATATACAAAACAAATCCTTGAGACTGCCATTAAAAAAAAAACACATTCTGTCCAAGTTGATGCAAATAATTCATCTTTGAATCATACATGTAGGCAGCCAACCAGGGCAGGAGAAAGAAAGTCCTCCATTACTCCTCAACTGCCTTTCTTGAACCTCCTACAGACCATCTTTGGATGAGCTTTCCAAATGGCAATGATAGGCGCAGCTCAGACTTGTACCACACTCGCTAAGAGTTTCCTAAGATGGAAAACTCTGAGCCAATCCGTACCTTATACCTTAAAGGCTTCCATCAAAACAGCCAAACTGCCACCCGCTTTTGTCTTAATTGGATTGTAGATTATGCTGCTTGTGTGCATGTAATATCAAATTTTAATAAGTATTTGATTAAGTGTCCAGTTAAACTGGCAAATTAATTGAAATGAACTGCTACACAAGCAAGATAATATGATTTAGAATGTTAATAGATTGATCACAACAGGAATCATTTGATAGGAGAGATTTTGTGGATCAGTGTTATGTCTCATTTTATTTAGTGTCTTTAACAATAATCTTTGGTGAAAGGTAGCCAGCATATGTAAAGTGTGCAGCTGTTATAATTCATTGCCTTTGCAGCTATTTCTTTAAGAAAAACCCCTGAGAGGCTAGAAATATCAACTGTACATACAGCACATAAAAAGCAGATACATTTTTTTATTAGCTTAAAGTCTTTAGAAATTGAATTCAAAGGAAAGTAGTAAAAGCAAAACCATGGAGACAAGGAATAGCAAACCTGGCCTGCTTGAAAAAGTACACAGTATTGGAAAAGACAAATTGGATGACCTGAAATAATATGTTCTACTTTACTGGAAAAAATACAAGTTCTTGGAATGTCTTACAAGAATTTTATCTGTCTAGCACTGTTTGTGGAATGAAAACCACCTTAGATACCCCTGGGTGATCTATTCCCAGAGAGAAATGGGGAGGGGCTGATGAGGTTGAACATCTTAAAATTTTTATTTCATGGTGTATGGCTGGAGCAGGTGGCACTGTGGTCTAAACCACAGAGCCTAGGGCTTGCCGATCGGAAGGTCGGCAGTTCGAATCCCCGCAATGGGGTGAGCTCCCATTGCTCAGTCCCAGCGCCTGCCCATCTAGCAGTTCAAAAGCACGTCAAGTGCAAGTAGATAAATAGGTACCACTCCAGCAGGAAGGTAAACGGTGTTTCCGTGCGCTGCTCTGGTTCGCCAGAAGCGGCTTTGTCATGCTGGCCACATGACCCAGAAGCTGTCTGCGGACAAACGCCGGCTCCCTTGGCCTATAGAGCGAGATGAGCGCGCAACCCCAGAGTCGTCCATGACTGGACCTAACAGTCAGGGGTACCTTTACCTTTACCTTTACTACCTCTCATATCAGTGTGCCTCTGAATACCTGAGTATCAAGTGGGGAAGCTCTTTCTGATATCTGTCTGGCCACTGTGGGGACAGGATGGGACTCTGGTCGGACCCTGCATAATTCTTTTTATATGCTCTTATTTTCAGCTTTTAGAAAAGGCCTTAGCCCATGTTCCAGTGGCTGGGGAAAACCTGAGAAGGATGACAACATCTTAAGTCATCTTGACTCTAATATTTATGCTTTAATTAGAACAGGTCTCCAAAGAAAAGTTTGAAAATGAAAAACGAAAGCAATTTCACCCAGTCATTTAAAATCCATTTAAGCTGTTCTACTCTGATCTCTGCACATGGAAATGGCCATTTATTTTGTGGAGCATGTCAAGGATGAGAATAAATCAGAGTATTTAACTCTTACACATGTATCTCCAGCCATAAAAGAGATGCCACAAAATTGAATGTGTTCCAATACAGCAATCATGTACTTTGGGGCTAATTAAGTCTGAATGCTCCAGCTGCTTTGCATATTTTATTCATAAACAAGAAGACGGCAAACAACATTTTAATAAACAGTTCCAGAGCAGGAATGAAAATGAACAAGGCTTGAGAGAGACTTGCAAAGTTGTAATTCAATGGTTAGAGCCAAGGAAGAAGGTAGGCTATGCACTTTACATAGAGACAGATTTGTGGCTTTGGTTAATATTTTATGGGAACCAAAAGAGGAAGGGAAGCGGAAACTTAGAGAAAATAATAACCTACCCTCTTAATTAAGAAATATATACATGTTTGCAGATAAGATATTCATCACCTGTTGAAGAATACATTTTGAACTGATTGAGGTGTTAATTTCCCCCCATGGTAAGGTAGGTGGAAGGGTGCAGAAGGCAAAAAAACCCATATTTTTATTTCAAAAGTCCCCAGACTACCACATGCCCTATTCATATTCATGAAAGTGTATGTAAAATTATATTGCTTTCCTCACCCCACTTCTCTGAGCAGCAAGCAATTGCCTGCATTTGGTTTCCTTTGGAGGAGCCCACTGGTGACTTTTGCCATTTTGTGATGTACGAATTTACTTACAACTACATAGGTGGAGCATAGGAGACATCAAATGGCCAAATCTCCAGCAGAGAATCATCATAGTCCAACCCTCTGCAAATAAGTTTTCCAAATCTAAATACAGTGGTGCCCCGCAAGACGAATGCCTCGCAAGACGGAAAACTCGCTAGACGAAAGAGTTTTCCGTTTTGGAGGTGCTTCGCAAAACGAATCTCCTATGGGCTTGCTTCGCAAGACGAAAATGTCTTGCGAGTTCCTGCGGGGTTTTTTTCCTTCCCCCCCCTTTTTCTAAGCCGCTAAGCCGCTTATCCGCTTATCCACTAAGCCGCTAAAAGCCGCTAAAAGCCGCTAAAAGCCGCTAAAAGCCGCTAAAAGCCGCTAAAAGCCGCTAATAGCGCTAATCCGCTAATCCATCAATGGGCTTGCTTCGCAAGACGAAAAAACCGCTAGACGAAGAGACTCACAGAACGGATTCTTTTCGTCTTGCGAGGCACCACTGTACTGCGACCAGAGTAGCCCATCTTCTCCAGACTACAATGGGCTAAGCAAGAACACAGATACACCATACCCAAGCATACCATACCCAGAAGATCAGTCTTATAAAAACAATTGTGCAGCTGTAACTTATTTGTTGCATTGGAACCAGGTATCTTCCCTCCAATGCTTTGTTGCTTGATTATTTCTCCCCACTAGGATTCCTGTGAGGGCAGAGCAGAATGTGGTTGTGTGAATATCACCATCACAAGCACCTCCCACTGGATAGGGACCATGACTTCATTAGCTGAGTGACACAAATGTCTTGTCACACACACACCACTATGTACATTTTAATTATCTGAAGAAGCCTTCTCTGAATAAAAAAATGTGTTGTGTGCTGTGTTTGTGTGTGTGAATGAGAGGGAGAGAGAGAATAATCTCTTAAGAAAAATCACACTCACACTATTTGCCTCCACTCAGTCGCTTATTCCATAGCATAATAATTATTTTCTAACATACAGTCCATCCTGGTCTGAAATTATTTTGTTAATTGGTATTAGAAGTAATTCATACTCCTTGAATTAATGAAGCACCTCAGTTAGTGAACTTAATCAACTCTCAAGTATTCACCATCAGAAAAGAAACAGAAATATTTTTATACAGTGCTTTTTAATGAGAAAAATAGTGCTGGTACCCACCATGAAGTTATTACAGTGAGTGCCACACTTTTAACATATGGGGGGAAAGGTGCTGGTTGCATACCCTTGAATACCCCCAGAAAAATGCACTGCTTTTACAAGACCCTCATTAAAACTTTCAAAGATAACGTTGAGGTGAATCCTTTATATTTCTTGCAAAAAGCATCCACTAATGTTTTAATCTGAAAGTATGACATCATTCCCATATTGGATTGTCAGACAAGCAGTACTTTTCTCTGTGGGTACGCAGGGGTACACATACCCCTAAACATTTTGTGGATCTTTGAGGTTTTGTCCATTTACTGTATTTATTTTCCCAGATTTGAACTATAAAATGGTGATTTTCTTGAGTCAAAATGAGAGTACCCCTAAACTTTTTTTTTTAGAAAAAACATTTTGCAGGTATGCAAAATCCTGCAAAACCCTTGTTATTTTTAAAAATAAGTAAGGTAATTATTATTCCAGTTATACAGATGTAAAGTAAGCTTAATATGGTGAACGACACTCTCATATCTGAACTAGAAATGAAGCCCACGTCTCCTAGGTGCAATCCATTGATTACAATGCCTTGGTGCCAGTTAGCAAACAACACTTTTCAATAATTTGTCTCATATTTATTGATTAGTACACCAATAAAACATCACTTAAGGGCCAAAACACATAAAGCCAGCCCCATGTAGAATGCTTAACATCCCACACATATCCCATCATGCACTTGCTACATGTCGATGGGCCTACACATAGTATTACCAAGCCAGTAATTCCTGGCCTGCTGATGTGGTAATGATGGAGCTTAAATGGTAAATGTACTTAAATGCACTGGGGTATGCATAGAACATTTACTTAAACAAACATCTTACCTGTAATATACCATTATGTATGTTATAGTGGTTTTTGCTTGGAAAACATAGACTGATCATAGTTCTCCCTAATAACTCTTTGCTCCTATCAACATATATTGACCTTTTGGTAGACGCTGTTTTGTTTGTTACTTTGAGTGATATTTAGCTTTTGTCATTCCACCTAAAGGAAAGAACTGCTATAACCTAATCTATACTGGATTGTGCTCAAGGCAGCAAAGCCTCAGATACCAATTGGCTCGAATGTTCACAAATATTCCAACTGCTCAGAGAACTAAACTGTCAGAATGGAAAGTTGTCTGCCTGCCTGGGATTAAATACTGACCCACAGGTCCCAGGAAGAGAAGTAGTTTTGTGGGCCAGACTAAAAGGAAGGGGAGCCAAGGGACACCAGACCTAGACACAATGGGACTAAGAGAAATGTGCAGATTAGGCAGTAGAGTAAGAAACAGGAACATGAATGAAAGAGCTATTTGGGGGCAAATGGACGGCTGAACTTCACATTTTGAATTTTGAACTTGCCCACCATATTTGCAGGCTCCTGTTGCTTCTTTGATGCACAAGATCTAGATTCAATATTCCTTCCTTACAGCAAGCATTCTGCTCCAACCACAGGCCTGAACACTCAACGCAAAAGTGAATGACCAGTTCAAACGTGAGTCCATCTGTCTACTTCTACCTTGGGCAACATTTGCAATATCTGGGAAGCCAGAGGGTTTATAAACCATTTCCGTTCAAGGATTATCACTATCTGCCCTTATTGCAACTGTAAAAGTTAGTGAGACACTGCCAAATACAATGTAATGTAATAACATGATGATTAATATTTTCGCCCTTGTCTGACATACAGGTAAAACGGTCCAGGCGCTCATCATTAACCTTTCCCCATTCAAGAAAATGAAACTGAATTTGTAATAGAGTAATCAGGCTGGCCCATGCTTAATCATTTAGCATTATATGCTGGGGTGGCCTTTGAGACATAATTAGAAAGCTATCCAGGCATTAAAATTTCCCAGTATAACCAGGTCTGCCACTGGGCATTCATCTAAGAAAAGACCAGTTAGGTTTTCTTCCAAGACTCTCTCAGATACAGCAGAGCTGCTACTGGGAAACTACACTTTCACAGCACTGAGAGGAAGGGACACAAAATAATAATATTGCTACCCTTTACTGCAAATATCCCAACTAGATGATGCCCCCATGTTTGAACTGCCTGAAACTCTGCATCTAACAGAATTTTGCATATCTCTTTAGAAGGCATTAAACACTTCAAAACCCAGGAAATAACAGCCACCTCATTGCTTAAATCTGCATCTTGGTTATATACCTGATCAAATTTCAACAGGGTATTGCTACAGTTAATGATATTATTTAATACTGCAATAATCCATCAAATTGTTTTGATTCCACAATCAGATTAGATCACTTGATCCAGTCAAACTCCCAACTTCTTGCAGAAAGAATGATTATACATAGCCCCAGTTAGGCTTAAACATTGATCTTTAACCTATTTAGGGATTATGGAATGCTGCGGAAGAACACTTAATGCCTATTTTCCTTCAAAACTTATGGCACCCCTGAGTATTCAGGTGAACCGGAGAACTTGGTAACAGAAGCATCCCAATGAAGATGTTATGAGCCACCATCCTAATTCCAAAAGCATACACATTCAGAAAAAAAGTTCTGGTCATACCTTGACATGGTGAATGAGATGTTCTACTTCATTCACTTTATAGGTCTCTAGTCCCAGCTCCTTAGATAGTCGCAAGACACGGTTTTGTGTTGGCCCCACGTATGCCCCTCCTAGGTCCACATATTTGACATGCTTATTCTGGCAGAGAAGGGAACAAAGGAAACGTTCTTGGCAAATGGCTATCAAACAAAACTTGTGATTCTCCATTTTTGCCCTCAATTCTGTGCCATGGGATGAAAATGTTTTTTAAAAAACGATTCAAAATATTTATAAGTTCTGCTACTTACCTTTCACCATAAGGTCCCAGGGTGGGTCAAAGCAATAGAAATCATATACAACTTTTAACACGTGCAAAACCATTCCAGTCAGAGCAAAACGATACAGATACATCAAAGGAGATGGGTCCCACAAAACAAAATTCTTTCGTGGCAGGGAAAAGAGTGAATGGCAGAGTAAAGAGGTGCATCATACGATGAAGGCTCTGCAGTGAAGATGCTAGACACTCCCATGTGGGGACAGGGAATCTGACAATTTAGCAGCTGCCCCTCCTCATTAAGGGTATCCCATTAAAGGGATCCAGGGTGTGTGGATCCTGTCTGAAGCCTGGGCGTGGGCTAGGGCCATGCCACGACTCCATCGGTGACCTCTTAATTGATGTATATCAGGGGTCAGCAACCTTTTTCAGCTGTGGGCCGGTCCACCATCCCTCGGACCATGTGGGGGGCTGGACTATATTTGGGAAAGAAATATGAACAAAATCCTATGCCCCACAAATAACCCAGAGATGCATTTTAAATAAAAGGACACATTCTATTCATGTAAAAACACCAGGCAGGCCCTACAAATAACCTGGTGATGCATTTTAAATAATAGGGCACATTCTACTCATGTAAAAACACACTGATTCCCGGACCATCCACGGGCCGGATTGAGAAGGCCCCCGGGCCTTAGGTTGCCTACCCCTGATGGCTCCCCTTATTGGTTGTTGACCCTTTTGAGACTTCCTGCAGACGGGCAGGAGTCAGGATATAGTCTGGCTTCACCCAAATGCCTAAGTCAAACTGCTCACATCTGCAACCAATAAAGTTGTGACCTAATCGATCTCATTAAACCAACCTATTTGTGTCTGTGTGTCTATTTCTGAGAACTGCGGGGCCCGGGGCCTCCCCAAGCAATTTAGGAGCTGCAACAGACAAAATCCTCTCAAAGGCCACTATTCTTAACCCTTTAGAGGGTGGTGGAACTACCAAGAGAATCCCCTCTACCAATTATAACACTCAAGTGCTTATAAGAATGGAGATGCAATATTTGCTATTGTGTTGTTGTTTTATTATGTTATTATGAAATAGTTTGCAATGTTTGATTTTGAAATGCACTTTGTTGTGAGCCAATTTGAGCATCATTTTGTGATGCTTTGTGAATGAATGAATAAAAGAGATAAGACAGGAATACTTACTCTGACTGTGAATGTTCTGCCTCCAACCCTGTCACGGGCTTCCAGGACCACAACACTCAATCCCGAGTCAAACAGCAACTTGGCTGCTGATAGACCTAAAGAGCAAACAGAAGGATGCATTATGTGCGTCCCTCCACCACGCAAAGTACTCCCAGCTACATGAAATAAGAGTCAACCTTGAAAATGGATTTCATTAAATATTTCAGAGGTTTAAACCGCCCAATTACAAAGACTGAATAGTGAAGTGCTCCTTAGCCAGTGTTAAAATGCCATTATGAATTCTGGAATACTATTGCCATGGATGGACAAAGTCAATTGTTCATCAGATGGTGTTCACTTGAGAATACATCATTCTCTCACTCATGTCCTGCTTACAGGCTTTTGCATGGGCATCTCATTGGCCACTGTGGGAACAGAAAGCTGGACTATATGGGACCTTGGCCTGATCTTGCAGGCTCTTCTTATGCCCTTATTGTACATAATTCAGGGCAAGTGCTTGGGAAGGTCTTTGGATGCCAATGATGCAGCGTGACAAATGAGAGCACTTCCTAGCTATGCCACCTTTCTTATCCATTTGAAGGAGAATAATCATTCTAATATATTACATGGCAGGAAACTAAAGGCATCTCCCATACCTAACCCTAATAATATTTTCACACATGCACAATATTAGGGCACATGCTCTCTGGCATATTTTTATTGTTTTATGGTTGATATTTAGCAATATATTGAGAATACCTCTCTCAGCTTCAGTTCCGCAAATGGAAGTTAAACATGCAATTTTATGAAGAACAGTGAAGCAATCACATAAAAATATTCTGTGCTGAAGTTCTATGCAGTATCTCACTGCATACTCTCTTAACTGCTTTTATTTTTGTTAGTTCCAGTTACAGTGCTACAAAATGTTACTTTCTTCATTGCATTACCCTATAGATCCATAATTTGCACAGTAAACCATGGCTTGGCATGATGTCCGAATTTAGCCATTGTGTGCCCTGTGGCAACTCAGCAGCTTTAACTCAAATTTCTCCAAGAGTTGCAGTGGTAGCAAAATTAATAAAAACAACTAAGAATTGACAAGGATTGATCTTATTTGCACAAAGGGCACTGCAACATTTAGACAGAGGTGAAGCAAGGGAAATGCAGTAAGCCTTCATAAGTAACTATGGCAACCTGCTATAAAATTGCATCCCCTTAAAGACTGGCTTCTAAGGGCTTTTACAATGGAAATTTAATCTGCAAAGACTGCTTCCCTATCACAGAATAATCTGTATTCAAATTACTGTCTGACTGAAATGTCAGCAATCATAATTATTAACCAAGCTCAGATTTTGGCCTGTTGGATTCCTGGTGGTTCATCTTTCATCAATCAGAATTTTAGATTCAATCATTTATCTACCGAAAACATCAGAAAGATAAAATATGATGAACATTACACGGGTTCTCTCAGTTAGGCTCACCTTTAAAGATGAACTTTGTGCAGTTATAAAATATAAAACTGTAATTGATATTGCTGTATATGAAGGGAACTTGAGAGAAGGTTTGGTTAGTGAAGTATATACACATGTGATCTGACAATATCCATTCATTCCCTTGGCCAATATTTTCTACAATTTTAACTCAACAATCATCTTCTCCATTCATCCCTTTGATTGGAAGCTTCCTCTTTGCGCCTTTTGCTTGCCCATTTGCCTCCATGGCTAAATGAGCTCCATGGCTCATCCAATACCAGCTTCTTCTGTTATACCACAGGGCCTTATTCTTAGCACCTGTGACCTATTAGTGGCTGCAAACTCCTTCACCAACCCCAAACAGGTGGTGAAATGAGGTCAAGGAAGGCCTCAAAAGGCATACTGAATGGCACTTTTAGAAGCAGCTTTTCAAGCATGAGACCCAAAGACTGGGACATTAATGAATTAGACTAAAAACCATTTGCAAAAACTAAGATGCTTGATTTTGGGGCCAAGAACAAGCATTTCCTCTCCTCCACCTCCCCCCCCCCCTTTGGATTAAGAGCCCGTCTGGAATTTCATCTTTCCAAACCATCCAAGGTCAGGGTCAGAGAGCTGCTTCATACTTTCCAAAGCAGCCTGGGGGGCGGGGGAGAATACAAACCAGTGGTCCTTCCTCTTCCCACGCTTCTTGAGAATGTCACGGCTCCCAGGCATCTACCTCTGTAAGGAAATCTGTCTGCTTTCTGTCCCTACATGAGTAATGCATTCACTTCTCCAAGGAAAGGGAAGCACACAGAGACAGCCAAGGAGATGCTAAACAAGTGTGGGAGGAAGTGCAGTTCATTTGTGTGTGTGTCCCCCAGCTTGTTCTGAACATCCAAGACAGTTTTGCCCACAGATAAAAATAGAAGTGTTTTCTAAAAAGCACAGTCAGACAGTATACAACACTTAAATGTCTCAAAACGTTTAAAGACAGTTTCATGCAGAAGACTTTCCTCCAGATTGTTTTCTCTTCTAAGCACTCTAGAGAACAGCCACTTCAGGCCTAATTTGGAACTCCGAAGTAATTTCACAACTAAATCATACTTAACAGAATATCTGCTGCTCAAGTGAGACATTAAAAACACCTCTAAAAAATAAGGTGAACTGGGAAGCTACACTCTCTCAACCACCACAGTGGTGAAAAGCTTTACATAGTCAAATCACAGAAAGCAAAATAATTGATAATCAAATAACCGTTCACTGTGGAGCCATTGAGTTTATGTCCAATTAGATAATGTACCCACTTTAGATATACACTGGGGAAACCAGCTTGTGTTCAGCTACAATTACTGGTACCTATTTGGTAAGGCTGGTCACAGATATTTCTGCAACTATTCAGAATAGGTCATAGTCAGAGTAGTCCCATTGAAATTAATGGATAAGAGCAACTAAGGTCAGTTACTTCAATGAGTCCTACTATGAGTAAAACTTAGTTAAATACAGCCCAATGTATGTACTCCATATAGGACTGACCTGCTGTAATTAATGAACCTAAGTTAGTTTTGTCCATTCATTTCAATAGGTCTATTCAGAGTATGATTTAGTAGGATGACACCCTGTTTTACTTACTTATGAGGCACCCTCATCAGTATACTTAACAAATGCTTCTTTTGGCAAGTGGACAGGCCAGCCCCATGCAGTTGTTTTTTCTTTGAGTTCAGATCAGTTTAGTCCATGATCAAATCAGACCCTTTTTATTTACAGGCTAACTTGCAAGTCAAGCACTTTCTTGAAAGCATAAGCACAATAAACTTTGCAGTTCACTAGAATATACAGAGACAAACAAAAAATTATGTGATGCACAATGAAGGAACTAGAGAGGGTAAGCCTCTTTTGTTCACAGCTAGAAAGCAATTTCCCCAAGCTTAGATCTCCTTTCAAAGCCCCAACATTCTGCTTATTGCATTACTTTGCCTGAAACTTGGATTTAATAGCATTGGGGTCATTAGAACAGTCAGCACAATATAAACAATCTGATTACTGGGTTTCAGCTGAGATATTGAACTTGGCATCAAGTACTTTGATCTCTGTTCTTACTCACTGTCAGTCAGCAAAATTCTGTTAATAAGATAGCACTGAAATTGCTCAACTGAACAGTTTCACATGTCTTTGATTCTTCCTTTCATTTCTCTAACTTTGACAGATTGTTTTGGGGTTCTAAATTGTCTCTGTGTTGAACTAAAGTCATGCAGGAGTTGGGAACTCTGGAAAAGCAGTGTTCTATGTAGATTCTCCTGGTCAATGTCTATGGCACATTCGGTATTAAGTATGTAGAGTCCATGCAGACATTCAGCTGAACATGGTGTATGTTGGAGGCAGAGCCTATTTTCAATCATCATCATAATTTATTATTTCTACTCTGCCCATCTGGCTGGGTTTCCCCAGCCACTCTGGGCGGCTTTCAACAGAACATTAAAAACACAATAAAACATCAAATGTTAAAAACTTCCCTAAAGAGGGCTGCCTTCAGATGTCTTCTAAAAGTCAGATAGTTGTTTATTTCCTTAATGGGAGGGCGTTCCACAGGGTGGGCACCACTACCGAGATGGCCCTCTGCCTAGTTGCCTGTAACCTCACTTCTCTCAATGAGGGAACCGCCAGAAGGCCCTTGGTGCTGGACCTCAGTGTCTGGGCTGAACGATGGGGATGGGCCGAGGCCATTTAGGGCTTTAAAGGTCAGCACCAACACTTTGAATTGTGCTCGGAAACGTACTGGGAGCCAATGTAGGCCTTTCAGGACCGATGTTATATGATCTTGGCAGCCACTTCCAGTCACCAGTCTAGCTGCTGCATTCTGGATTAGTTCCAGTTTCTGGGTCACCTTCAAAGGTAGCCCCACGTAGAGCACATTGCAGTAGTCCAAGTGGGAGATAAAGACTCTCCTCCCTGGAAGAGAGGGGAGTGGTTGTGGGCGGGAGCCCGAGCACCGCCCCTAGCAGGGGGCGGATGCCCCCTGCCTCCACCTCACCTGGCTGGCGCCCATGCCCCCTCTGCAGGCATCCAACCAGGTGCCTCGGAGGGGGCGTGTTCAGCAGCCTTATGCTGCGGTGCCAGCCTCTCCCTGGCCTCATTCTTCGCCGTCGTCTCGTCGCGAGTCACCCACCCTCCACTCCCTTAGAGTTAGGGCTTAGGTCATTGGCCTTGCTATGGACCTTAGGTTGGTCGCCCTGGTTGTCCAGGGGGCCTGGTAGGAGTTTTTCCATTTGGCATTAGGCTTTTTGGTTTTTTCGCCTACCTCGTAGCAATCGTCACAACTTTTGTGGTATTGGTGGGTCGGTTAGGCATTGGAATAATGTGTTGTGGTGTGTCGAAGGGCTAGGTGTGGCCATCGCCTATGCCTTCAATTTTTGGGTATTCCGTTAAAGGAATCTGGTGGTCGTGTGTTCTGTCCGATGCCTGCTTGGCGGGAGGCCATGGCACGACCCTCGGTGACATCAGGGGAGCCTATAGTTGGATTAGCATCAACAGGCTCCACCTACTGGTGAATAAACCCACGTGTTTTAGAGATCCAATGCCTAAGCCAATACCTTTTCACTGCTGTAATCAATAAAGTTGTGGCCTTTCCATGCCCATTAACCTTATATCACGTGTCCTTGTGTATTCATTTCACATCGCAGGGGTCGGGTCCTCGACCCACAACTAGAGCATGCACCACTTTGGCGAGACAGTCTGTGGGCAGGTAGGGTCTCAGCCTGCATACCAGATGGAGCTGATAGACAGCTGCCCTGGACACAGAATTGACCTGCACCTCCATAGACAGCTGTGAGTCCAAAACGACTCCCAGGCTGTGTACCTGCTCCCTCAGGGGCACAGTTGCCTCATTCAGGACCTGGGAGTCCCCCACACCTGCCCGCCCTGCCCCGCCCCCCCAAAACAATACTTCTGTCTTGTCAGGATTCAACCTCAACCTGTTAGCTGCCACCCATCCTCCAACTGCCTCCAAGCACTCACACAGGACCTTCACCGCCTTCACTGGTTCTAATTTAAAAGAGAGGTAGAGCTGGGTATCATCTGCATACTGATGAACACCCAGCCCAAACCCCCTGATGATCTCTCCCAGCGGCTTCATATAGATATTAAAAAGCATGGGGGAGAGGACGGAACCCTGAGGCACCCCACAAATGAGAGCCCCAGGGGTCTGAACACTCATCCCCCAAAACTACTTTCTGGACACAGCCCAGGAGAAAGGAGCGGAACCACTGTATAACAGTGTAAACAGTCCAAATATTTGCATAGGTCTAGGGAACACGATATTTAGTGGTAAAGGCCACACAGGTCAAGAAAAAACTTAAGCCACTTTCTAGCTTCACTGCTCAGGGTTACAATATCTAGTTAGTTGTCCCTCAGAGATATTGGAGGGTGGTATGCCCAGAGACAATGCACCATTTTGAGAACACAGCTTTTTCTTCCAAAACAATAAGAAATGTGATGCCATAAAAACTGAATGTATTCTGTTGCTTCAGGTAATTTGACCTTCATAGCTGTATCAAAAAGAGATTGTGCAAGTTGTCATACTAGATATTTCCTTGGCAGCTACCCAACGCTGAAACCAAATTGATATTGTAGCATTATGAGCTATTTAGGCAATTACAGCATGTTGCACAAATTGTTTAATCAGCTGCTTCAGAGGCTGCAAACTCTGTAGATTGGATACAGAGCCTTATCTGAAACTTGATATCATGTATAAAGAGGAACTGCAGGTGATAGACAAGAATGGGCTTAATGCTGTGCTAGGAAGGAAGGCCTGTGAGGTTCAAATCTAAAAGAACAAGTTACCAGAGATGCTAGACAAACTATGAGCCCATATGAAATAAGACTGCCGTTCACGCCATTTACGGCAGGGATGAATTTGCCACAATCCTCCTCCCCTGGAAAAAGAAGAGAGGTGGTATCTCCCTAGGGGAGGACAATGGTCCGAGGGAAATTCTGCCCAATGGGGAGAGAGGTGGTGACAGCCTATTTAGGCCTACTCCACCCTGCACGCTTGCCTCTTCTTTATTCAGCACCCTCCCTCCATTTTGCAGCGTGGGCCTACAGGCTAATCATCTGTTTTCCAGGGGCTGAGTAGGATTTTTTTTGGAGACTGTAATTGGCTCCTGGTCTTCTCTTTTTTTACTGACTCCACACTGTAGGGTGATGTTTCTTGGAGTGGTGTTCCTTCAGTTTGGTTAGCTGGCATGTAGTCTGGACAGGTGAGAAAATTTCAGAAAGAACAGAACATGTACCTAAGGCAGTGTTGGGTTGTGGGCATCCCTTGGTCACTGTTGTCAGGCATGGCTTGCAGGTGCTGGGGGTGGGGGTGGGGTGCCCTTTGACCTGGCAGACACAATGGGGTGAATGCTGGTCAATGGGCCACAGTGTGCCTGTTTGGCTCTTACACTCAAGGTCCAGGCAGCGGGGAGGGAGGAATATTAGGAAAGCTTGCTGCGTGCACACAATGTGCAGCTGTTAACTTGCCCAGATGCTGGGGATAAAAATTGCCCCCTCTATTAATGAACACCTGCCCAGAATTAATTTGATTTGGTTACATTGGCTGAATGTGACTAGTTAATTTGTTTTGCAGATCCACAAGTTGTTATATTTAGTAAATATAACCTATTTATCCACATTTGGTTATCTTGACACTTCTTCTTAGTGTGCTGGCAAATCACCTTATTTTTCGCTCTATAGGACGCATCCTATGGAGCAAATGCAGGCTCCTTGGCTTCAGCGATAGCAACGCGAAGCCTCCAAAGCACAGAGGGAGCACTCCCTCTGCGCTCCGGAGGCTTCGCGTTGCTTTCACTGAAGCCTGGAGAGCGAGAGGGGACAGTGCGCCCTGTCCCCTCTCGCTCTCCAGGCTTCAGCGATAGCTGCCTGAAGCCTTCGGAGCGCAGCAGGACCTGCGCTCCGGAGACTTCGGGTTCCTTTTGCTGAAGCCAGGAGAGCAAGACTCTCCTGGCTTCAGCAGAGAGGGAGAGCTGCGCAGCGCCCCTTCAGCCAAACGGGAGGAGAAATGTAAGGGGCTCAGTTTCTCCTGCCGCTTTGTTGAAGGGGCGCTGAGCAGAGAGGGGGATAATTTTTTTTTTCTTGTTCTCCCGCTCTAAAACAAGGTGCGTCCTATGGTCGGGTGCGTCCAATAGAGTGAAAAATATGGTAATATACTGCATAGATATTCTATAGCAGGAATGATTGATCTGCTTTCCACCAGAGGAAATAGTCTTGTACAGCCGCATTAGCAGCATTAGTGAAAACACAGCATACTTGCATGAGCACTCTGAAACTACCAGATAAATGAGGTTGTGTGAATTTTCATAGTATGGGTACTTGTGACATCACAGAGATGCCTAAAATTGAATGTTTCTACCAGAATCTGGCCATCAGCAATATAAATGACAATATAATTGGAACTGATGCAAACTGTTGGGTAGCTTATTACCCACAGAGTGATAATTACCGTACCTAGTTTCCATTCCAGGCACTGGAAAAGTTTCCTCACCCACCGGTACCCTTAAGGAAAAGGCAAATTAAGCAGCGATCAAGGGAGCAATACCCCACAGTTCAGAAAAAGTCTGTCACTCATGACCAGTTGGAGGAACGTGTGTGTGTGTGTGTGTGTGTGTGTGTGTACGCTACCACAATCTACCTTGTTCTCCTTAGAATGAAGCACAGTGGAGACTGTAGTGTTTTCAGGATACATGGTTTATTTACACATATATACAACCGTTTGCAGCATTGACACCCCAAGTGGGTCTTGCTTCCCCCATAGCTGCAACTAAATCCTTCAAAAATGTTGCCTGGCTACCTTACCTAACAGCACAAAGTGATAATAGTGTGAGGGTGTTTACATAGTGCACAAACATTGTGCAAGGCTCTATTTGCTGTATTGAGTAAGTTTAATGTTACCTGGAGTTTTGCCTTCAAAATGCAATGTCAGCCTTTGAACAGTAGCCATTAAAAATGCTGACAGATTTATATTTATGGCCCAATAAGGTGATAAGAATGCAACTGTCCTGTTATAATTTCCCCAAGCTTAGATCTCCTTTCAAAGCCCCAACATTCTGCTTTATTGCATTACTTTGCCTGAAAATTGGATTTAATAGCATTGGGATCATTAGAGCAGCCAGCATAATATAAACAATCTGATTACTGGGTTTCAGCTGAGATATTGAACTTGGCATCAGGTACTTTGATCTCTGTTCTTACTCACTGTCAGTCAGCAAAATTCTGTTAATAAGGTAGCACTGAAATTGCTCAACTGAACAGTTTCACGCGCCTTTGATTCTTCATTTCGTTTTTCTAACTTTGACAGATTGTTTTGGGGTCCTAAATTATCTCTGTGTTTAACTAAAGTCATGCAGTAGTTGGGAACTCTGGAAAAACAGTGTTCTGTGTGGACTGTGGTGTTTTTAAGGATACATGGTTTATTTACACATATATACAACCTGAGCCTACAATGGAGGGGTTCGCAGCATTAACACCCCAAGAGGGCCTTGCTTCCCCCATAGCTGCAGCCTTGGATTGAAACAGAAATCAGACATCACTCTGTCTCTCTCAGTTCCTGGTGTGCTGCTTAAATTCTGTCTCAGATCACTGTCAAATTTATATTCATGGCCCAATAAGATGATAAGAATGCAACTGCCCTGTTATAATATTTAAAGACTAATTAGTGGTAGCGGGACATCTCACCCAGTTATATCCAGTTTTCTTTCCAGAAGGAAGGAAGGCAGGCTGTGGTCAATGAATACATTGGGAGGTTCATGAATTAGAGAAGTGCTCTCCTGTGAACAGAGTTGGTGCTATTTAAACAAACCCACCCACCACTGAGTACACAAATGAGTTTCACAGCTCACATCAGCCTTCCTCAAGCTGATGCCCTCCAGATATTACTTGGACTGCAGCTCACAACATTCTGGCCTCTTGGCTGAGGCTGATGGGAGTTGGAGGCCAGCAATAATTGGAAAGTTGCCTCTCACTATCAGGCTGCAGCCAGAACCATGAACTGAACTCTACTTTTGAATGAAGGCTAAACCTGGAAATGGGCAGGGAACCATGGCTTCTCTCCACACATTTAGGTACAGGTCCTTCGTAGGTCCTTCAGACATGTTTCCTGACTACCTTGCAGTCACCTAACAGCACCAACTGATAACACTGTGAGGATGTTTTGGCAGAACACAAAGCCACTTCCAACATTGTGCAAGGTTCTATTTGCTGTATTGAGTACGTTTAAGGTTACCTGAAGCTTTGAGTTTAAAACCCGAAATCAGTCTTAAATTTAGGTGGTTTGAATAATGACAGAGTTGCCCAGCATGCTTCTGGTGACTGAAGCTTATTAAGTCCATTCTTTGAGAGAAAAATGTCAGCATTAGAGTCAGATACATCTACTTTCCAAAATATATATTATACTACAAAAGGGATTTAGGAAAGTTAAATGCTAAGTTCCTCTTCCCACACTGAATGATAAAGGACATCTGATGATATTCATGTCTGGGAATCTGTATGTCCTGAGCCAAAGGGACAATTTGCTTAGAAAATGTTTTTTTCTCACATTATTTTTGGAATAGCCAAAGTCAAAACATTATGTCCCTTATACTGGGAAGTAAATATGTACCTAATTTTGAGAAGTTGGAGATGGCATTTGTAAGTGGTCCATGTTTCACAAGCATACAGTAAGGTTGGTAGTACAATAGCTTTGTAAACAAGCATTTTGGTTTCCCTGCGAATGTCCCGGCCCTCAAACACTCTGCACTTCAATCGGGAGAAAGCTGCACTTGCAGAGCTTAGGCAATGCTGGATTTTGGCATCAATGTTGACCCTTGTGGAAAGATAACTGCCTAGGTAGGAGAAGTGATTGACATTTTCCAATGTTACACCATGGAGTTGGATTTGTGGCGCTGCAGAGGGGTTATTTTGTACTTGTTGGTGCAGCACTTTGGTTTTTTGGATGTTGAGTGACAGACCAAGCTTTTCGTAAGCTTCTGCAAAGATATTTAGGATGGTTGGGATATCTCTTGGGAAGATAGGCGAACTAATATCAGTGTACTGGATGAAGCAAAGATCACCAGTGTTGAAGTAATGATTCTTCAACATCGACTTTGTAGGACTGGTCATGTTGTGCGGATGCCTGATTATCATCTTCCAAAGCAACTACTCTATTCCAAACTTAAAAATGGAAAGCGTAATGCTGGTGGTCAACAAAAGAGGTGTAAAGACTCTCTCAAGGCAAATCTAAAAAATAGTAGTATAAACACCGACAACTGGGAAACACTGGCCTGCGAGCGCTCCAATTGGAAAACAGCCTTTACCAAAGGTGTCATGGGCTTTGAAGACACTCAGAACTCAGAACGCAAGGGAGAAACGTGCTAAGAGGAAGGCACGCTTGGCAAATCCACACCATGATCAACTCCCACCCGGTAACCAATGTCCCCACTGTGGAAGGATGCGTGGATCCAGAATTAGCCTCCACAGTCACCTACGGACTCATCGTTAAAACCGTGATTATGGAAGACAATCTTACTCGGCTACAAGTGATCGCCAAAGAAGAAGAATGTAACTAATCTGTGAGGAAAAACACACACTTTTCAATCTCCTTCACAACAGTCCAGCAGTAACTCTTCACCAAGAATGATGTGAATGATTACCATCTACTGAAAGCTTGCTGGACTTGTTCTTTTTGCCTCGGTTCAATGAGCAAACATCCTTCCCTTAAAGGCATATCAGGATATGAGCACATGGCTAGCTTGTTCTTGCTGTCTGGATGCATGGCAGGTGGTTCAACAACCACAAATACAATTTAAGTTGAAGTAAGATTGTCGTGCAGTCGCCCATCTAAACCTTTTCAACAGCTCATGCATCCATGTTTCCTCTATTCCTCATCCCTTCCCATAGCTCAGTCAGTAGAGCATGAGACTCTTAATCTCAGGGTCATGAGCAAAAGATTTATGCATTGCAGGGGGCTGGTCTAAAGGGCCATTCTATGAAAACAGTGAGAAAATAAAAGTTGCCCCAATACACTTTAATCAAACCTAAAGGTTTTAAGCCTCCAATATACATTTAACTCTTTCAAGCCATTCTCATCACCTCCAAACATCCTGCCCACTACTGCCTCAGGCAGGTCTTCAGAGCTTAAAGGCTGCATACACCAGCAGGCATTAAAAACACATTATTCCCCCCCCCCCAAAAAAATAATAATCCTGGGAACAGTAGTTTGTTAAGGGTGCTGGGAATTGTTGCTCTGTGAGGGGTAAATTACAGTTCTGAGGATTCATTGGGGGTAAGCATGTACTTTAAATGTGCTTTGAATTAATGGTGTGCAATGCAGCCAAAGTCTACTAGAGTGGGGTAAAGGTAAAGGTAAAGCGACCCCTGACCATTAGGTCCCGTCGCGGACAACTCTGGGGTTGTGGCACTCATCTCTCTTTACTGGTCAAGGGAGCCGGCGTTTGTCCACAGACAGCTTCTGGGTCATGTGGCCAACATGACTAAGCCGCTTCTGGCGAACCAGAGCAGTGCACAGAAACGCCGTTCACCTTCCCGCCAGAGCAATACCTATTTATCTATTTGCACTTTGACGTGCCTTCGAACTGCTAGGTTGGCAGGAGCTGAGACCGAACAATGGGAGTTCACCCCATCGTGGGGATTCGAACCGCTGACCTTCTGATCAGCAAGCCCTGGGCTCTGTGGTTTTAACCCACAGCGCCACCTGCGTCCCTACTACAGTGGGGTAGAAGGAATTAAAGTGGGACAAGGGTTGAAGTGTCTGACATGCACCTGATACTACTAAACAGAGCTGCTGACTGAACTGAAAAGTGCATACTATGCTTCGTCATTCACCTTCAAAAATGATCCTTTTGTTCTCTTAGCATCTGCTGGAACATTATAGGAGCATGTAAATCTGAAATTGCAAATCTTAACTTCAAAGACTTTTTTGTCGGATGTTGCTCATTAACCCTCACGACCCATATCAAACCTCTAGCCTCCTTCAGTCAATATAATAAAAGGATTTGTGCTTTCAGAAAAGTGTTAGGTGTTATAGGTGGTAACCTGTTGCTTTGATAGTCAAGATTTATGCCAAAAGTGAAATACAGAAGATTTGAAAGAGCAGTGACAGTAGACAAAGTTTCTGAGGAGATTTTGCCACAGAAGTGCCAACCTTTTCTTTAAAAGTTCTGACTTGGTGAGTGCTGATATTAGAGGCAGAAAGAGAAGCCAACTCTTTGCCTATGTACGTAGACAGCATTTAGCTCAAATAGGCAATAAAATATCTGGAGAAAGAAAGGCCAGTTCTAGTTTTCCAGACTAGACTTTTGAAGTCAGAAATCGCTAAGCCCAACAAAAAATACAAAGCTATAAATTTGCCCTTATGGTTGCATATATGGTAGCCATTTTTATGACAAATGGTCTATGCCTTTTACCAGCTGCATGGCAGAAATTTGAAAGGCCCATCCTCTCCACCACTGCGTATCTCACCTGGGGAAAGTTGCACCTGTTGAGTTTTGACCTGTCATGGACCTGTTAGAGCCACAGAAGCGGTCATAAAATGAGTTTAGAGAACAGTAAATGCATGACGTTAGGTAAGCAGGTTCCTTGGAGTTTTATAGCACATCATCATGCAGACTACAAAGTAACAAACACTAATCTGAAATAATAATATAAGACTAACACAGAGACAAATCAGCAAACTGTCACCATTTCCAGCAGGTAGGTTAGTAGTGTATAAAACAGATCCAGAAGCAAAAGCTCTCAGAATATTGAAAATTCAAAATGCTGGGCAGGGGGGGTGGCGGGACCTAACCAATTTTTTGCTTTTAAAAAAGCAGACATCCTCTACTGTAACAGATGGAAATAAGATTGGAAATGTAATAAGACCGTGACGCTACCAGTGCAGTACTATGCATGTCTACTTAGACATGAGCACCACTGAGTTTGATGGGACCTACTTCTAGGGGGAACCCTTAGCTGGGAATAAATTCAATTTAACTTAGTGGGATTAACTTCTGAGTAGCCATGTAGATGATTGCACTGTGACTGACCTAGAAAAAGACCTTGCTTCACTTCAGATTGCTGCCCCACCCTAATCTACAGTTTTTAGGCAGGAACATCTCAGTTAAAAAAAAAAAAAATTCTGTAAAGGTAAGAGCAGACAGCAATCCATTTTTTCCCCTACCCCTTAACAGTGTATAAGTTTTAAGCCTCATTCCCTCCTTAAATGCCTTAAAGGCATCTCTCCATCCTTTCCCCTCAATAAGCCTTTTCTTCCTCACTCTAGTGCTTCCGTTTAAGAGAAGAGGAAAACAGAATTATGGAAGTAGCATGGAGGCACTTTTCTCACTGCTCCTTCCTGCTTGCCTCTTTTGATCTCATCATCACCATCTCGTGTTACTACTGATGCTACTGCGGGTACAAAGAGTGGCAATTTATTTGGGTCATGGTGGCAACCAGAATGGATCCACTAGCTCCAGCGGAGCTAATAAATAAAGGCACAACAGGGATCTGCCTCAAAAAGTCTCCCTTCTAGCCAGATCTCCACTCTAACCATGCAATTAATTATCATCTTTAATTAATTAAAGGCTCCCAAAGGAGCCCAGGGCAAGCATTCCAAGGCGCTTATTTGGTGCTTCCACATCAGGGTCTGGGGCAAGACAGTCAGCCTTCCTTGCCAATGACCCCTTTGGATCTAAGATGACATGCATCTGGGTAACCACAAAACTAAACACGAAATTATGGGCACGGCCTTGGGAGTGCTTCTGCCAAAATAAGGTGCCACCGGCATTAAGCGAGGCTAGGATATCCCCAGCCTGCAGACATCCTTGTTGAGGGAGCCAGACAGATCGTCCCTGGTGAGAAAGAGCAGTCGGGAGACGGAGGGAGACTCCAAGGAGCAGCCGGCGCCCCTTGTCTGATATGGAACAGGCTGCCCGGGCGACTGCTGCGCAAGAGCGCGTTATCCAACCATTCGGAGAAAAGAGCAAAGTCGTCTGCGTTCTGGCGGAGACGGGGCATCCGGCAGCTTCGCCAGTCTCCGCGATGGATATTAGTGTTTCCCAGCCAGTTTAACCCAGTACAACCCAGCGACTGGATTGGGGACAACCCTGGCACGACCCGAGCGAGGCGCACGCCCCTTCTCCCTCCGGCGCGGAGATGTTTTCGCGCTCGCCCCGCCACTGACCTGAGATGCCTGCCCCGATCACGACCACATCGCACTTCTGGCTGCTCATGGTGGCCGCCTTCTCTCTGCCCGTCAGCTGGCTGGCTGTTCTTTCTGGCGGCTGCCGAGGCTCCTGGAACAATTGCCAGCCGGCGGCAGCAGCAGGAGCAACAGCGCTAGCTCGGCGCCGCCCCTTCGTTCGGCCTGGAGGGGAGCCCCGCCCCCTGCTTTCCTCCTGCCAAGGCGGCTGATGGAGCAGAGGCTCTCCATGGAGCTCACCCTTGGTAGGCTCTCTCTGGCCAAGAAAGAGACAGCAAGAAGGCAGCAGCTTCTTGCCCCTGAGCAAGAGCCAGGGCCATTAAACAGGTGCCACCTTTATTGGCAGTGGGGACAGGTAGCCCCTGGGCCTGGGGGGCGGCCTGTGGCCAAGGAGGTCATGTGGGCAGGGGCAATAAAGTCATATGTGTGGGACCAGGAGGCAACTGTTTAACGACACAAGAGCAGGGACAAGTAGTTCTGGTTTTCTTCCCATCCTTCTCTCCCTTGGCGTGTGGGCGGGAAAGCACAGCAGCTGTTTAGGCGCCTAGCACCTATCTCAACTAAAAAGTGTCTCACCTTGGTTTAGGAGGGATCCCTGCTGTCACACTTTCTAGTGCAGGTTGATGTCACAATAACCACACTCAGAAGTAAGTCCCACTAAATTCCATGGGGATGGCACTCATAGAGGACTACAGCCTGAATGTGTTAGTTAGTTTTGTTTTTTTTAATGTTTATTTGCTTTTCTGTTTTATCATATCATCAATACATAGTATGTTACAGTCAAACACTTGGTAGTAAGAAGGAAAAAAAGAAAAAGGAGAATAACAGAATTATTATTATTATTAATATGTGTGTGTGTGTGTGTGTGTGCTGTGTGTGATACCTTTACAGCTGTGTGTGATACCTTTACAGCTGTGTGTAATACCTTTAAAACTAGCAAGTTATGTTACTATTTTATATATATATATATTAGTAACATAACTTATTTCTCCAATTTAATGTGTTAGTTTTAAAAGTATCACACACAGCTGTTAACAACCCCAACCCGGAGTCAGATCACCAAATAAGCAGAGCAGACACCGGCCTAGGGGCCCCATTCCTTTCAGGGGCCCCACAACAATGGATCAAAATAAATACTGTTTATTTTGTGTAATAAAATTGGTTTATTAAAATTGTTGGTTGGTAAAATAAAAAATGTATTAGGAGATAATTTGCGAGGGCTCCCCAGAGATTTCAACTGCCTAGGGGCCTCCACAGGGTTTAATCTGGACTTTCAGACCTGCGGAAAACTATTACCACCCACCCACGACAACTTATTTATTTCCATGGCTTATTCCACCAAGTGGGGAAACGGGACGTGCTGCCCCTGATCCTTAAGCTTCCAAGGCACAATGGTCAAATTGAGTTTGCAGAGGGAACGTGCCAGTCCTAGTCAGGTATTTTAAAAACATCATGGAAATAGCATGTGGAAGGACTAGGATGGCCACATTCCCCAAAAGTCATTCCCTTCAGGTTGCATGCACAACCTCCCCACTTTAAGGGAAAGATCCAAAGTGGGGGGGGGGTCTTCATATGTTCAGCTGAATGCACTTAGAATCCTTACTGTGACCACGAATTGTGACTATGTGTACTATTTCATTATAGTTTGGAAGAGTGTCTTGATCAGGTAGTGATCTGGCTAGGAAAGTGACCTTACTTCAGTGCCACCAGAAGCCTGCTTCAGTGATATTTGCATCTGGTTAGACTCAGGGGGAAAAGAACAAAGCACCCTTCTCCTCCCTTTCCCATTCATTCCACCTGCATGAAATGATCCTGCTCAAACAAGACTGTTTTTCAAGTAGAAATCACTTCCAGATCTGTAGCGTATTAACAGGCTGCAGACCGGCATTGCTATCAGGCTGGCTTGGGTGCTTAGCAACAATCTAATCCGCAGCATCCATCCCCAGGGCTGTGGCTCACATTACATTGTCAAGATACAGATGCTCTTTTGCCAGACCCACCCATGTCTGCTGCCTGGCAGAAGAGGGAGTCGCTGCTCCTGTCCACCCAAGCAGGAGCATGCTGAGCAGGACCCAAGCAAAGCAATGGGGCAGGTATCAGGACAGGGCACTCTGCAGATGGCCGATCAGTGCCACATGCCCATTATTATGAGGAGATGAGATGAGATTTTAGATCACGCTTGAGAATATCTTTATGTATCTTTATGGGGTGTCCATATCTTGTAAAATTTGCTGGAGTCAAGCAGACCATATTATGAGCTGTGTGCTGCTTACTCAGGTCCTCTTGGAGAAGAAATAGAGAGCAGGGAGAAGCTTTCTTAAAGCAGCTCGGGGAGTATTTGCTCATCTAGCCCAGTATTGCCAATAATAATAATAATTTATTATTTATACCCCGCCCATCTGGCTGGGCTTCCCCAGCCACTCTGGGTGGCCTCCAACAAAATATTAAAATACAGTAATGCATCAAACATTAAAAGCTTCCCTAAACAGGGCTGCCTTCAGATGTCTCCTAAAAGTCTGGTAGTTGTTGTTCTCTTTGACACCTGGTGGGAGGGCGTTCCATAGGGCAGGTGCCACTACCAAGAAGGCCCTCTGCCTGGTTCCCTGTAACTACTACTGTGACAAGACAATTTTGAGGAAGATATGAATGCAGGAACTGCCTTAAATCAAATCAGACCATTGGCCCATAAGAAGATAATGGTCCATCTAGTTCAGAATAGTCTACCCAAAGGGATCATCCATACTTCCAGTTGTCTGCTAGTCTCATGCTTTCTAGGCATGGGTCCAAGTGGTTTTGCATTTGCCTCGCACCTTTCTCCTGGAAAACGTGCTCTTCACCACTAAATTGGAACAAATGGAAATCTGCAGGAAACCCAAGTGCCATTTGGTCCCATTCAGTGGTAAACTGCAGGTTTTCCCAAGGGAAAGCAGCAGGGCAAACAGAGGTGTGCACAAGCCCCAACTGTGGTGCTCCAGAATTTCAGACAGGAGTCTTTCCTAAGCCTACCCAGAGATGCCTTTTGGATGCAAAGCATGTTCTCTGTCTTTGAGCTACAGTCCACTCTGATCACCTGCTACCCAGTCCCTTTTTAACTGGAGATGCCAGAGATTGAAACTGTTTAGATTCACCCCTTTAAAAATTGACTGCAGTCTAAGCAGCTCTTTTAAGAGCAGTGGCTTATGCTCCTCAGCCTGCTAAAATGGCTGTTTAATAGTGCACTCCAAGTTCCCTTTCCCCCCTTAGCAAGTACATGAATCCAAGTGCCACACAATCCTATTAACTTCAGACATTGGTAAGCCATGCTCAGACAGGTGACTGTGCTGAACAATTTGCTGCTCTTCGGCCAATTCCTTCAGTTATGCTTTCCCTATATGAAATTCTGTGTTTCCTAAACATTCAAAACCACAAAATACTCTGTTTAATCCATGCCATTGATAGACAAGGTTAAGAGTTGAAGAGTTAAGGTTTCTCAGCTAATTCTCAGTGAGAGTTCTCACATTCTACTTCTCCTTTTCCTCACTCCTCCCCACAGATGTTCTCACGTATTTTAAGAGCGACTTTTTCTTCTAAATCCTTTAAGTAAGTAGTATCCGTATATTGTATGAAAAGCTTTATCCTCACTTATGTACACTGGGCTGGAATAATATGCTGAAGAACAGTTAATTAATAGAAAAAAACACTGCCCTGGAATCTTGAGCAGTTCAGAAATTTGTATTTATAAATAAAGTAATTAAGTGAATGGCCTTGTTCCATTGCATGAAAGCATTCAGATCCATTCCCCCTGCAAAGTTTCCGCTGATGGATGACTCTATAGCTTCTTCTGACTGAGCTTCAATACCTAGCTGTTATCAGGATCCAGAGCAGGGATAACCAGTGGCATTTAGTTCTCAAGATGGTAAAGCAAGGTCTGAAAATTTTTATATGCATTAAAGTAGTCATAAAGTTTCAGAGAGGTTTGTTATTGGTCAGAACAATTTCTGTTTAATCAACACTTCGTTAACATTGGTTTAATATTATTATAATCCACTGTGGATTTTATGACTCAATAAACAAAACTGTGTGTCTGCACAGCCTGCAGCAGACTTTCTTCCTCAACCTGGCATGCTCTCAGAAATTTAAGTTCCACTTCCCATCAGCCAAGTCAGGGCAGCTGTGCTGGTTGGAGCTGATGGGAGCTGTAGTTCAAATCTTCTGGAGGGCACCAGACTGGGGATGGCTAGCCTACAGTTTCCCATGTATTCTATTTACATGGTCAATAAGGCTCAAGAGTTCACATGTCACACTGTGGTTATATGAGAGGAAAACATGGCTGCTCCCATCTGCAAAATTATTTTCCTTTTATATTGTTGATGGCATCTACTTGTAGTTGTGACCCTAGTTTGTCTGACATAGGGATGGAGGAAAATTTCATTCCATTTCTGAACTGAGCTAATGTACAATTCCTTGTTGGAACCCGATTATTCTGTGAATTGCACTCCAAATTTGGTGATGCAATTCTAAGCTCACTCCAGCTCCTTAATAAAGGGGAAGTGCATACTTTAGAGGGATAAACACACAAAACTGCATATTTTAGGGGGAAATGTGTACAATTTAAATGCAATTGTTGCTACAGTCTCTTTTTTGGAAAAAGAATAGCAGAAAATGGGATGGATCAGACATACAATTACTTCTGTAAAACTGACACATGCTGGAAATAGGCTGATCCATCTGTCCCCAGTCTGGCATGATTATGATGCTTCTTAAGATTGAAAGGAAGAGAGGGGGTGCATCAGCCATCTACTGTCGAATAGCTGCTCGTGTTGATTTTGGCACAGGCAACAGGGCTGCCATCTTTCTGAGCAACTACTGCATGTTAAATAGTGTAGCATTATCTTTAAAAAGAATGCCTGGCTATCTAGACATTTGTGTACAATTTGGCTGTATCCATTATGCTAAATGAGCCTGCATAGAGCAGTTGCTAGAATAATTCACAGAGATCATAGCAAGCCAGATTTTCCATTCCATAAAATTCTGTTTCTAAGTCATTTGCTATGGGTGGGGAGAACAGGGATGATGTTTGGGCAATCCCAGATAGCTAAGCAGTCCCCTGAACAATGGGGGCATGGAGAGGCTTCTGGGAGAAAGAAGAAGTGGAGGCTTTCCTTCTGTGAGTGTCCTCAGATCTCCAGTTCTTGGGATCCAAGTCTCTGGCCCAGCTCACCCATAATGCTAAGCCAATCCACAGCTCAAAATGAATGAGCAAGCATGCAGGCTCCTAGAAAGTAGATCGTAGCTGCTTTACTCTTCTTCTAGTCCTGCTGCAACTGCACTAAGCCACAGAACAAACCTTGGTTACAGCTCATCGTTTCTCTGGAGCGAAACAGACCATGTACTTGGGTTTGGATTTAATGCTGAACTGGACCATAATGTAGCAGCAGAGAAACCAGGGCAGGAGCATAGTGACTGCAATCTCTGCTCCAGGAACCTGCACATTTCTTGTTCACACTGAAGTTAAAGGGTATCTTTTGAGTAATTTTACAGGACAAGAGACCTC